TAAAAATTCTAAACCCAGGTCTGCTGTTCAAGCCCAGCCTGTGGGCCCAGTCCAACATTTGACTCCTTCCCTTTTTTTTCGTTTCAACTTAAAATTTTTTAAGTTAAAAATTCTAAAACCAACTGCCCAGAGTCATTATTACCCCTCCCTTCTACAGATCCGCCGAAACAAACTTCCTCCTCATAAAACAATAAGACGTTGACATAATAACGAGAAGAAAGTTGAAAGAATTGCAATGAATCGTAGCATAAAATAAATGCGTTATAATTCCGTCGAGAGTTTCCAAAAATCGCCAATTTGTGCGTTGAAGCGTTAAAGCGCGAGAGTTGTTATACTGGACATCATTCATAATATCAAAATGACCTCAAAAAGTTCGTTTTTGAAAGCACAAAGTAAAAACGCAATTTCGGGAAAGGTAAAATTGAAAAAGCAATTTAAATTTGAAATTTTGAACAATTTTTCAAAAACTCTTAGACTAAAATGTAAAAATATTGTTGTATAGAAGTATATATTTATGTAAAATACAAGGCACTGCTTAGTATTTGTTTTTAGTGTTTTTTTAATCAAAGAACATCAAAAAATGTCAAAAGATAACCAAAAAATGTAACAAAAGAGCCAAAAAATACTTCCTCCCCGGCCGGGAATCGAACCCGGGTCTCGCACGTGACAGGCGCGGATACTTACCACTATACTACCGAGGAACACATCTTATGAAGCCATCAAATCAAAGAAAATATCATGTACAAGACATAGAAAGCAGTGTAAACCACAAAAAAAATTATGAATTAAAAAACATATTTTACAATACTATAGTACCACAAAACTTACCTAGTACTTTTGGTATAATAATAAAACTCCCAAGTCCCTCATCCTCTAATAAGACGTCCATTTATGAATAGACTTGGCTATTAAAAGGGCAAAAAACATGTTTTAAATCCGTTGCAAATCCCCCCCCTTCAAGGTCATTAATTTGCGAGAATTGACCGGTTACTAACATCTGTAATTCCAATTGCGCAATAATTGGACAATACAGGAAAAATTAAAAAAATTTTAAGTGAGATCCGTCAAGAAAATCAGGCTAGGCCTAATTTTCAAGCCAAACCCGCAAGCTGAACTAAACTTTTGGGTCCGGCTTGTTTCAACTTTAGCTCAAAGCATTACACGTCCTGTTTCTCACCTACTGTACATCAAAATTTAAAAAATTTTTCCAAAATTAAAGATTATTCTCCCTATAGTACGTAAAATGTCAAAACAATGTCCATTAACCCAGTTTCAGTCCATTTTCCCCCAAATACATCCCAAAACTGCCCTCTAGAGACCTATTACGTCCAAACATTTTTACTATTTTTTCACCTCTTTAAACTTATTTAAAATTTGAGTACTGTAATGTAAAGTCCTTTTACATCTATAAAATACAACTTTTTACATTCGTAATTACCCAACAACTTCCGTCCCACCAAAAACTATACAAAAACGGTTCAACAAACAATAATTTCCAAAAAAAGATTGTCACTGACGGATTTGTTCCGGTAGGGCCATCCAAAAAACACAAGTGCAAACATTCGGATAATACGGAAACATACGAACAGAACAAACATAGATTAATCAGTGAATACAGTGGTTCAGACATATGTTCATGTGTATTTTAATTGGCAGGGATCTTTTGATTTTTAAATAGCCAATTTAAAAAAAATTTTTTAAAGTTAATTGATTTTTTTAAATAAGGCTTACGATGAACCCAAAATATGTTTAAGTAAAAGTAAAATACGACCATTTTTCACCCGGCTACCAAAAAAATAAAATGCAATATTTAAAAATTTTCAAAGTTTTGGTTTTAAAAAAAACTTTTTTTTCTACCCTAGAAATTTAAAGCAAAGAAAATAGATGTAAAATACGAAGAGCATATCTTTTCCATAGTTTCATATTCAAAAATAAAAAAATGTGATTCAAAACGGCCCAAAACAACTAGCAAATGTCGTAAAAAGACAAAAATAGCTTTTCTCCCCGGCCGGGAATCGAACCCGGGTCTCGCACGTGACAGGCGCGGATACTTACCACTATACTACCGAGGAACATGTTTCAATAGACTTATAAAGCCAGCAAATTAGCTTTTTAAAAACTGTTAGTGGCTTTTAGATATCAAATAAAGCATAGTCAACCCAAATGGTGACTACTATAAACGTATTTTACTCGAAAAGTCACCTAATTCCCTTAAAACTCCCAAATTTAGGCCAATAAACCGAAAATGACGCAATTTTACTGATAACAACAACAAATATAATAAAATATTGGTCGTTTTGAAAGATAATAAAACCTATTTTATTACAAATGTTTAAATTAATAACCTTTCGTACCTGGAGGCACCATTTCGTAAAAAATATCATCTGGCCAAGGAATTGGCAATTAGAGGATTTACGAATGCGTAATTATCTCACGTGAATAGGTAACACCAAACTTCTTCGACAAAGAGTAATTTTAGGGTATGAGGATTTAAAAAGGCATTTTTAGGTTAAAGAAGCTTAAAATTCAAAAAGTATTGTAAAAAATTTAATTTTAAAAATCCTAATTTTAAAATTTAAAAAAAATTAAAATTAAAAATAAAAAAAATCAAATCAAAAATAAAAAAATCAAAACTCAAAAATTAAAAAAAAATTAAAATAAATTTTAAAAACCAAAATTTAAAAATTTTTTTTAAAAAACAAGTTTTTGAAAAAGTTCATTTTACTGTAATTTACAGTAACCCAATATGGTAAAATCTGATATTATTTTACACATTTGATAAATTACATATTCTAAATTACTAATTATATGTCCAACTATGTCCTAAATATAAAAAAGTAAAGTACATTGCCCACGAGAATATTAATTTCTGGCTTCTCATCTTTTGACCACTAGCTAATTTTTTTACGTTTCTTACGGACTCAAAAAAAGAATATCTAATATCCTAATTCATCATTACGCTATAGCATTTTTTTGCCTCCAGGCAACATAAAATGAAATTAAAAAAACTGAAAATTCATTTTTAAGTATGCTACTGCTAAGACTAACTAAAAAACCCTACCCTGCCTTGCTTTGCCTTGGCTTCAGTAGACTAGACTTGAATTTACTTGACTTGCCTTGCCTTACCATGCCTTGCTTGTCCTGCCTTTATCCTTCCGCATTCCTTTCCCTCCTCCCCCTACCCCCTAAAAACCCTCACCTCATGAACTCTCCCCACCTCATTACTCTAAAAGCAAGGTGTCATTACACCGCAAACTCCCTAAAAACCCGCCCTACAGTAAAATCTGCAGAAATCCGCAAAGTCGCCAGCTGCACTCTCGCTGCAACCTTCAGGTAGGGGAAAGTGTCAGGTTGATTAAGAACCGGCGACTCGATTATAATAATTGATTGGAAAACAAAAACCCGTCAAAAATTTGTCAGTAGAACTTTCTATGCTATGATTAATCTGATTTTTCAAAATTTTAAGTGTGATTAATTGAAAATTTGTGGAAATTCTTTGCTAATTAGATAGTAAAATTTTTAATTGTTTTTTGAAATTTTGATGCAATTTTTAAAAATGTAAGACACGAATTCTAAATGGAATCAAAATAGAAAAAATAATACAAAAATCAAAAAGGTTTTCTATAAAAAAATATTTTTATGTAAAATACGATCCATTTTTCGTCTGAGGTTTTATAAATCAAAAAATGGCCAAAAACTAATTAAAAATAATCAAAAAGTGCCTCAAAATGGGCAATAAATGTCTCAAAGGAGCAATAAATTGCCTCAAAATAACCAAAACAATAAAAAGAGCCAAAAATACTTCCTCCCCGGCCGGGAATCGAACCCGGGTCTCGCACGTGACAGGCGCGGATACTTACCACTATACTACCGAGGAACACGTCTCAATAGACTTACAAATCGAGCGCTTATTAAAATACTACCAAAAGCAAATTAAACACAAATAAAAAAAATTTTAAATTATTTAAAAAGTTATTAAATACCCGTTAAGAAGTAAAATTTTTCCAACGAAAAAAATAAAGTAAGCTTTCGTATTCTTTAACATAAAACAACCATTCACATTTCAAACCCGTAAAACAATGTATTATAACATCCCAAGACCGTAAAACACCCCGCTGGCCTATATTTACATTTAGATTTTGTCCTACAGTGAATATGCAAATGTATTTTCGAATCGCGCAGCCGTGCATTCATTAGAATAGCCTTTTGTCCTTCAAGACTCTTGACGGATTAAGGCGAATAAAGATGGATGGATAAGTGAAACTCGACCAAACAGGTGCTGCTTACATTAAAACAAGTTTAGGATCTTTGCACTAGAATTGATGCGACATAAATAATATTTTTCTCAAATCAAAAATTTTAAATTTTTAAATATTCGTTGTCTCACCCTTTAAAACATAAAATATTAAACCTTCTAGCTTCACAAACACTTAAAATTAACTTATAAAACATAGTACTAAATCATTTCAGCATAAAAAATCAAAGATAACGGCCAAACATACCTAAAGTAATGGCCAAAACACCGTTTTCCAGGTAACAATCCTCAAAATGGAGTCAAATTTCCAGATTTTCGGCTCGTTTTCATTAGTTATGAAGCGTTAAAGCCGATGAAAATCTCTTGTTCAGCTGGGATTATTGTCCATTATTGTTTCCGGCCTCCTTATTTCGGCGGTAATTACGTATAGCGACAAAGCCGCAAGCGCGAATCTATATTATGATTGACTGGCGGTCGTATTTCAAAGATAAATCTCTTTGAAGCGCTTGAAGTCTAGAAAAAAATTTAGAATATATTTTAAAAATTATTGAATTAACACGAACATATTTAATTCACGTATCTTACCATTTACATCAACTTCACAACAACGAGCTGTCAATCCAATAATTTTTGTGACACTTCGCTTAAATCTTTGTTACACTTCGTTCTTTTAGAAATTTATTCGCAAAATATTTTATTTTCCCCATTTTTCGCCCTTTTTCGACTATTTTACATTGTTTTAGCCATGGTGAAGCGAAAAGTTGTATTAAAAGAGGACACAAAAGCTGAGGATGCTAAAACTAATGGTGTAGTTACAAAAATTGAAGCCGAATCGAATGGGACTTCAAATGGGTACACGAGGAAGTTCCGAGGAGATGAAACAGACTCTGACGATGAAGCTGTAAGTTAATTTCTTTTTTATGTTTGAGTTTTTAGGCATTTAAATTAGACTTCATTTCAAACTTGACATTGATATAGGGAAAAGCAATTTTGCTGTTTTGATTGCTATACTTAATCTTAACTAAAGATTTTGTAAAGGATATTCATGATGCTGTTTTTCAGGATCTAAGGAATACGATTGGCAATGTTCCTATGCAATGGTACGACGACTATGATCATATTGGTTATGATTGGGATGGAAAGAAGATTGGAAAACCTGAGGGCTTTAAAAAAGGCGAAATCGACTCGTTTTTGGAACGAATGGATGATCCTGATTATTGGTAAGGAATTTTGGTATTTTTTAAATGTTAAGATTCAAGCACTTTGAAGTATCTTAAACTTACCTTCTTACGTCTAAAACAACATATTGTTTTAGGCGTAAAGTATACGACCGTCAAACAGGCCAAATGGTGACATTGACAGATGAACAAGTCGAGAAGCTTCAACGTATGACTTCTTACCGTTATGCTGATCCAACATACAATCCATACGAACCTTTTGAAGACATTTACTGTGACAAGAAGGAAATTCATCCGATTTCGAACAAGCCAGAAGACAAAAGAAGTTTTATTCCATCAGAAGCTGAACGAAAGATTGTTGGTCGAATTCTGCATGCTATGAAAATGGGGTGGATAACAAAAGAAAAACCAAAGCCCAAGTTAACATACGATCTATGGGAGGCTGAAGATGATGAACCCAAGTCAAAGCGAGAATTAGCTAGGCTGAGAATGCATTGTCCTGCGCCGAAAGTGGGTAATCCAGGGCATGCTGAATCATATAATCCACCAGCTGAGTATCTGATGACAGACGCTGAGAAGAAGAAGTACGAAGATACGGAACCAGAGTTGAGGAAACAGAACTTTGTGCCAGAGAAGTACGACGCTATGAGGAAGGTTCCATTCTATGACCAATTTTATAGAGAAAGGTTCGAAAGATGTTTGGATCTGTACATGGCTCCAAGACAGGTTAAAATGAAGTTGAACGTGGATATTAAGGACCTTTTGCCAGATCTACCCAATCCTAAGGACCTTCAACCTTTCCCAACTACATTGGGATTCGTAAGTTTTAGTTTTTATGGAAAAAAGGATTCACATTTCGTTTCTTTTTCAAAATAAATATCTGTGCAAAGTATCAAAAACATCAAAAATATTCTTAAATAATCTAAAACCTCTAATTATAGTACATGCGTGGCCATGTAGGACAAGTACGCTCCCTAACAACAGAGCCAACTTGTGGTGAAATCCTAGTCTCAGGTGGCGAAGACAAAACGGTACGAGTATGGTATGTACCAACCGGTCGATGCCTCAAAACCTTCAAGTTTGACGCTCCAGTCACTTCAGTACAATATACACCGGATGCCGAGAAGACACTGGTACTTGTTGGTACCGAATCCAACAAACTCACGTTGTTAAACATTGAAGCTGGTGATAAGCTGAAGGTTCAACAAACAAAAGAGTTTTTGAACAATTTGGATGTGAGTATGTGTCGTGCTGACAATCCAGAAGCACCCAAATGGAGCAGAACCAAGGAAGGAAACATTGAAGTGGAGGTGCCTGGGGTAAGAGGTTTAATTTTGAAAATATCTGGTTCAAATTAGTTTTCATATTACTTTAATTTCAACATAAGGTAAAATACGGAAGTTTAAGAATTTAAAATCACAAATCTGACCTAAAATATTTCCAGAAAGTCCGTCAAGTCACCTGGCATCGCAAAGGCGACTTCTTCGCCTCGGTCGGCTTCGAACACGGTGCCAAACAAATCAATATTCACCGTATTTCCCAATGCAAATCCCAACAACCCTTCTCAAAGTCGAAAGGTCAAGTCCAATGTGTCCTGTTCCATCCCACAAAGCCTCACTTCTTCGTGGCCACACTACAACATATTCGTCAGTATGATCTGGCCAAATGCCAACTTCAACGTAAGATTCTGACCGGCTCCAAATGGCTGTCGACGATACAAAGCGACAACTACGGAAACAATCTGTTTGTGGGTGGATTGGACAGAGTATTCAGTTGGATTGACCTGGAGTTGAGTAATAAACCATGGAAGACCTTACGATCACATACATCGGCGGTTAGGGCACTTACGGTACACAAGAAGTACCCATTGTTGGCTACGGTCTCGGATGATACTTCAGCTATTGTTTATCATGCCAGATGCCCTCAGGTGAGAATTTTTGGGTTTTTTCAATTTTTTATATGTAATTTTTATTTGAACTTGTGCTTTTCAAGATAAAAAATATTAAATTTCAAAAAAAAATAAGATCTAAATTTAATTTAAAAAGGCTTTTTATTACCTAAAACACTAAAAATGAACTTTAAAATCTTCAAATTTAAAAAAATAACCCAAAATCTTCAGGACTTTGACAAAGAAAACGAGTTGGTCCCAGTAAAACGTCTCTTCGGCCACAAGCATCAACAAGAAGAGCTAAAATCGAAGGATCAACTAGCCATGTTATGTGCCGCTTTCCATCCTACTCAACCATGGCTGATGACTGGAGGCCAAGATGGCCAAATTGGACTCTTCATTTATTGAATCTAACTAATTGTTGATTGTTACTTCTTGTTACACCTTATATTGTTAATGTTCTTTGTTTTGGAAAATAAATGTTATATGAAATGGCATTTGCAGAGTATATAAAAATGAGATTAAAATGTGTCAGAGAGGGTGAAATGGAAGTTAAAATGAGGTTAAAATATGTTTTAAGGGGGTGAAATGGGCTTGAAACATCACGCTACGACAGCATAAATAAGCTTTTTGCAGTTTTGGAAAGAAGATACAGTATTTTAAGCAAAACTCTTCTTTAACTCACATATTTTTACATTATCTTTACTGGCAAGGGTTATCTTATCCTACAAGTATAATTGCAGTATTGAGCGCAAAAAAGCTCGTTCTATTAAGGATAAGAAATTAGTGCGCATTTGAAGATCAAAAAGATCGTACTTCGAACATTGAACCTTTAATTTTTGACCTCTTGATATAATTTTGTGCGAGTTTGAATCCGGTGAGTATAAAAGGAGGACCAAATCTGTCTTTCACTACATTAACGTTAAGTTAACTCCAAGTGAAGGTTCGTCTTTTGGTACGTTTTCATCTCTTAATCTTGTCTATATTTATATTTAGAAACATATATGTTACTTATGACATATAATAGTAGTTTCAATTTAAAATATTGGCATTACTAATATTTATAATATATACTTTCTTAAGTTGTTAAAAGTAGGTATTGCTGACTATAATCTACTAATAGTAGGCGTTATTGACTATAACTTTTTTGCTGTCTATACTATTACTATATCTAACTGCTGTATTTTACCACAACTTTTCAGATCTCATAACTATCAATCAACTAAAAATGGCTCCAAGAAACGCTACATCAGCTAAGGACTTCGTCGACATGCCTCTGGATGCTTATAGAGCATCACGCCGCAAAACTGTTGCCCATGCCAAGAAGACCAACACTAAAAACCCAAAGAAGAAACCGGTCGATTTTAAAATAAGACCCAACGATCACTCCAGAAAGATCCAAACAAAGGTGATCAAGATTGTAATGAACGTTCCTGTAAGGAAGACTCAAGTAGCTGATACGAAGCCACGAACTTGGTACAAGAAGAAGGACACATATCCTACTCAGCGAACCAATCAACGCATTGACCAACATCATAACTCTGGCAGAGTTAACAAGAATAAAGCTGCCTTCAAGTCCAGAAAGCCCGCCCAGCCAAAAGTCAACCTTGCAGAATTGGACAAAGAACTCGACGCTTATATGAAGAGCTCCAAACATTACAAACAATAATAATAATAGTACATATATATACTTTACAATAATACTTTGAAACAATAATAACGAGTCAATAAACTTCATTTTACTATACTTTTTTGAAATATACTTCTAAAATAACCATAGCTTATACCTAATAACACAAAGACAAAATAAAACCAAACAATTAAGTCTAGTATACCATATGACATATAATCAAACCTTCAAAACCAGATAGTAAAAGATAACAAACTAATGCCAATAAAAATACCAAAATCCAAAACTTTATTTCCATCAAAAGCACTAGTCGAACTTGCAACCAGCCTTGGCCTTACGGCACAAGACAGTCGAAGAGTGGACGGCCGGTCCGACCAAGACCACTTCCTTGCCGCCGTAGCCGGCCGAAGCCTTTTCGTTTCTGATGTCGACCTTGCCCAGGATTTCCTTGCCTTCCACAATAATGACCGCAGGGGAGATACTGACCTTGCCATTGTCAACGTGTACTGGTACCCATTCCTTTTCGCCAAAGGCGGCGGCTTCTTGGTACGGCTTCCAAGCGTAGTCAAAACCACGGACGTGCTCGGGCAGCTCGAACAGGACCTGAAAGTAAGTAGATTAGGAACCTTAAGCCTAAAAATACCTAAAATAAAACATATTAGTTAAGAGATCTTAGGCCTAAAAATAAAAATTTAAGCCTAGACTTTTTAGGATAGTGTACTTAAGCCTAACACTTCCAAGCCTAAAACGTTAAGGCTCAAAGATTTTAAGCCTATATACCTGAAGTGAACCAATGTTCTTCTTGTACTCGTGGCCTCCCCATCCAAAGTCAGCGGCAATCTTTCCACCCTCGTTCCAGATACGTTCCATGACCGGCTCACCCGACTGTTACCACAACGCCACATATTGATCGGGGTTCTCGCCGGGCAAGGTGTTCAGTGACTTGAACAGGGCCTTGACACACTTGGTTGGTGGGAATGGATCGCCAGCACGGAAATCAGCCCATTCGTTCAACATAACACGTACGACGGGCTTGGGAACGGGTTGGGGCTTGGCACGCTTGGCCTCGCATTCTTTGCACTCGCAGGTTTCTGGTGCGTCTAAAAGTTGGAAAATCATTACTTTAATTTGCTTTGTTCACAGTACAAAGTTAAAAATTAAGTGATAAAGATCTTTTAAGCCTAAAAAACAAATTTTCAAAATTAGAAGGCACAGAATTATTTGAACAACCAAATAAAACCAGAAAAACAAGCAAAAACACCCCCAAACCCACCTTTCAATTCACGGACGATAATGTACATAGGCGCCAATGCTCCACCCTGTACCTCTTCGGCTTTGCCGTCATGGGAGAAGCGAGCAATCTCGGTACGATTGTCCACATAGCCCATCAAAGCTCCCTCCTTTCGGTCCAACCATAATAATAGAATCGAGTCGCCACACTTTACCAGCTCACGCTCCTTGACGTCCTTGTCGAAACGCTCGCTGTACTTGATCCAATTGTACCAGTAACCCAGGGTCAAGTGGTCGCCCTTGTATTGGAGCACCTGGATTTGTCCAGCCAAATCTTTCGCACCAGTCAGTTCGGCCTTCAGGTAAGGAAAGGAACATTCCACAACACCACCGTTGTTCCAGGCACGACCGTGAATTGGCTGAAAATTGAAGATTACAAAAGTCCAAAAAATCATAAGCTTAAACCCTGCCCTAAGCCTAAAGCTTTAGGTCTAGAACTTTTAAGCTTCAAGGACTATAATTTCTAAGCCTAAAGCTTCTCAGTTTAGAAATTTTAATCCTAGAGTAGAAAACGTAAGCTTAAAACATTCTAAGCCTAAACCTCTCAATCATAACCCCAAGCCTACTCACAAGCCTAAATCCTTTTATAAGGCCAAAGTTTTTAAGTTTAGAAATTCTAAGCCTAGAACTTCTCAATATAAAAGTTAATCCAAGAGATTTTAAATCTACAATCTTTAAGCCTGAAAAACGTAATCCTAGAAGACTCCAAGCCTAAAGCTCTCAATCATACCACTTCCAATCCTACATTTAAGCCTAAACTCAAAAAACCGAACCTACAAAACTTAAAACAAAAAATCTTAAGCCCACTCACCTTTCCGTTCTTGTACCACAAAGCAACGTACATGTTTTGCTGACGCAAACATTTGACCGGATTGTCCGGGAATGGAGCACCGATAGGCTGGAAGGCCCAGGTATCTTCCAGTGGCGGGAATCTGTTTGGCATCACGACCGGTCTACGCGAGCGACAGCAACAAGTAATAAACGTTCACTCATCCGCCAACGCTTTTATAGTCCGGCCCAGGTCTTGTGAATAGTAAGGTGGCACATTATTCAAATTTTTTAGAAATTTAACAAAAAAATTGTAGATTTTAAAATTTTTAAATTGAAATACGTTTAAAAATTCAATTTTTTTAGTTTTTTAACATAAAAATTTAATTTTCAAAAAAAATATTGTACTAGACAAAAGATATGTCCGTAACCGCAAAAAATGAGATCATTAAAATCAATTTTTTAAATTCAGGCAGACTTATTCTTGGCGTTTCGCTTCTGGAGCCGGTAGATAAAGTCGGAAATGACGCGGGTTTTGGCTGGAGGCTTGGTTTTCAACATTCCATTTTGATAGTAATTCTAAAAATATAAATTTTCTTTCATTTTTTACCACGTTTTTAAAAAGTAAAGTATAATTTGTTTAACATATATCAATCATCACTAAATTCTCCACCTTTTTCCACCCCCTCTCACCTCCAATATCAGCAATATCTTCTGTGGCTGAAACTTTTGTTCATGTAGAGCAACAATATTCTTCTTCAGTTCAGCATTCAATCCATTGCCACTCTCATTATCGACCTCATGTGAATGTTCTATTGAAGTTTCTACAACCCGTATAGTATCTTGAAAATTCTCCACAGTCCGCCTGACTTTACATCCTTTCTTGGAACATACGAAATAGGTTCGTTGTATACCATCAGCGCCTTTGCTTGAAGAATTTAAAGAAAATCCATTCCTTAGGCTTTGCCAGGCTTCTTCGAACTCGGCTTTGGAGTTGAATTCATGAAGTAGATGAGTTGGAATGCGTACGCGAGTCTGGAATAAAATAGAACCAGATAACAGTAACTTGTATATTATAATAGACAAAGGCCTAAACTTATAAAAAATATGTTATGAAATTCCTCTTTAGGTAACCAAACATACCTTTTTAGAACTACTGTTACTTCCTTGCGACTGAAAACTCGTACCAGCCTCTTGAGAGCTACTCAGCAGCTGTAACATCATATTGGCATCAGGCAACACAAATCTTTCATCAATTTCATAAGGTCTATAAGATGTATCGTCCTCAATATTAACTGCAACTTCTTCCTAAAACAATAAATACTGTAAAAAAGTGTATTACCAGGTTTAAATATATTATTTTATAAATTGGCTTCAAAAACCGTATTTTAACATAAAAATCTAATAGAAAACCAAGATTTTTCTATATTACTCAGCGTTTCAACCCTCAAAACAACTTACATTAACAACTCCATGACCTTCAACGACTCTAGACCCATTTTCAACATTTGAACTACCCGTATATTCCTCACCAAGAATATAATTCGCTTCAAACTCTGCTTTCCTATCATGATTAACATGTTGATCATCAGATTCAAAGACCAAAACCTGTTCAGTGCCTATAACTACGGTCCTTCTAACTTCACAATTCTTTTTCGAACAGATGTAATAGATATTGGTTGCATTTCCAGACGAATTTTTCGAATTACGGTGAAATCCTCGCTTCATACCTTCCCAGGCTTCGGAAAATGCTTCATGAGAGCTGAACGTGGCTATTAAACGTCGAGTTTTGGCTGTTGATCTTGTCTGTAAAATAATATATGCATAATCTTGCTGTTCGTAAACTTTTACAGATATTGATAACGTTTGTCACACTAAAAACGTCATTTACATGCACCATGACATAACATCATATTCCTCAAGGCAAAAGTCTTCGTACACAACACCTAAAAACTAAAAATTAAAAAACTAACTTACCTTTCTTTTACGGCCAACACTTTCATTAGAAATTTGCTCATCCTTGGTGTTATCCCCAAACTCTTCCACATCAATATCTTCTTCCCCGAAGCTTTGGTCCAATTTACCTTCTGCACGATCTTGAACTTTTATTGACATAATTTTACTACAAATAAGTCTATTTTAACCAGTAAACATCTTCATAAGATCATTTTATTTCGTTTTTAATTTTCCAAAAATTATTTATTTTTTGGCACTTCGCGCACTTTTTTATCGGCTTTCTAGACGAAGTGTGAGTTCTTTCATCGGAGAAAATTAATTGTAAAATTTTCGTGAAATTCAAGGGCAAATATGTAAATTTGTGTTATGGAATAAATTTTTAAGATGTATTCATATTTGAAATTTGCTCAATTACTAAACGGTCGCGCTTTTCTTCGACATGGGTGACAAGGATAAGAAAAAGGCGAAAATGTAAGTCTTGTTTGATGTGAAGCAGGTTATTACTGTCTTTCAAGTCTTATTTTTCGACTGGTTATTACCACAGTAAAGTTTGGACTATTCTGATCTATTTTTAAGGTTAGAATTAACGTTTTAAACCTTTTTATATTGTTATAAAGCCAAATGATAATCTTTTAATGGCTAATCATGGATAAAGTTAAATTTATCGTTCTATTTCAGCTCGACAAATAAAAAGAAAGAAGGAGCAGTAAATCAAGATGGTAAATCGAAAATGGTAAAGCCAAAAGAAACTGGAAAATCAAAAATGGTGAAGCCAAAGGAAGAGAAAGAGGATGTGGTGAGTGCATGGATAATATCGGCCATTTTTCTTTGATTTCGCTAAAGTTTTGTATAGATATAAAGGAAAAAAATTTTAGTATTGGAAGTGGAAAACTTTCTGAATAAAATACGAAAAAATTTTGGAAGAGTTTTTTATCGACTGGTCGAGACACAAGGTTTCTCCTGCCTTGCTTTTTGACTGGTGCAGACAATATTATTCATAACAACTGTAATACTTGTCGGATTGTGCTCAATTTTGGAATTTAAATAGCTAATAGAAATGTTTATAAGTACGTAAAAAATTATTTTCCTCTCTTTCAAATACTTTCAACAATGTATATTGTTTTAGACTCGCTCAGGCAAGACGAAGAAGACAGCTCCCCCACAACCGTGCGTTGCTAAATGTGATCCGAATGCTGGTGATCACGTCCGCCGATGGTTCAACCGTGCTCTAGAGAAGGGCGTGGCCGGCTTACGTGAAGAGTTTGGTCAAATGAGACGTTACTGTCCGGCGAACATGACTGTCCACAACTTCACGATCAATTGGGAGCTGGGTCGGAATCGCTACAAGGACGTGCCGTGCCAGGACAAAGATCGAGTCATATTGAAGTGGCCGGGCTATGATTATGATTACATTCATGCAAACTATGTTCCTACGCCCAAATCGCCCAAACGGTATATTTGTACCCAGGTAGGTTGAGAAGGAGACCTTTTTTGGGCGAGGGGAGGAGATATTCAAAATGAAATTTTTTACTTCAATTTACAGGGGTTAAAAGTTGATTTTATTCTTTAGAAAGATAAAATCTTATATTCTTAAACCTTGTCAACATTACAGGGCCCTCTCGAAGCGACGGCGGTCGACTTCTGGCACATGGTACTGCAAGAAGAGACCCAAGCCATCATAATGTTGTGCAATTGTATCGAGAAGAACATGGACAAATGCTACCAGTATTGGCCGCAAAAACCCGGTGATTCACTAAAGTTTGGTGATGTTACTGTCATCTCGGAGAAAGCGACACAAGTCCCGGTTGTAGACAACATTGTCCAAACCAACATCAAGATAAAAGCGACGCCGAAACGAGGAAACCCGATTGAGAAAGCGATTTGGCACTTTCAATGGATCAACTGGCCGGATCGCGGCGTTCCGCCGTGCAATCATTCCGTGATCCACCTTCTGAACATGGTCAGACAATGTGACACGTCCACCGTTGTGCACTGCTCGGCAGGTATAGGAAGGACAGGCACGATTGTCTCCATTGGCTACATGATGGAACGCTTCCAGAATGCTCAGACTTGTGAAGATATGCCTGTCATTTTCAAAGAAATCAGAAATTGTCGACCATATTCGATCCAAAATGATATTGTAAGGCGTTTTTATGATATAAGACTATTTTAAAAAAGAGGGGGAAGGGGAGAGTGGTAGAAAATTTTTAGAAAAAAAAATTATTTTGCTTAATTGAGCTTAAAGGATGTAAAAGGAGCTAAAATATTGGCATTTTTAAGACAAACATTGAAAATCAGGGTTTTCGTGGCGGGCTCAAATTAAACTAATTTTTTTGGAAATTGAATTATTAAAAGTCCCTGTTTTGTGATTTTATAAAATACTTTTGTTGTTTCAGCAATACCTATTCATTCACCGAGTAATCATGTTCTACTTTGCCGAGCGCTATCGAACATACGATAAGTCGGACCCGCGCTACATCAAATTTGTCGAAGACTACAATCAAGCGATCATGTAATGGAGTTGTGACAACTTGTCTTTGAAAATGGCAGAATAAAGGGTTCTTTTGGTTTTGGCATTTAATTAAAATTCAAAAGATTGGATGAAATTTAATCAAAAGCCGACTTTGGCTTGAGAAAGGGCTTGCTTAGAGCTGTGTTAATGTTTTTCTTATTGTTTCTTGGTTTTTGTTTGATTTTTTTGTTTTGTTTAGTAGTGTAAGTTTCACGATTTTAGATATGAATTGGATTTTTTTGATAATTTCATTAAAAAATGGCCTTAAAGTTATAAAAAACTAATATTTTTGGGTAGAAATTATAACAAAGTGCACGTTAAGACTTGTTTCATCTAATTTTTGTTACCTAATTTACTTCATTATTACCTAAAACGACTGATTAATTTTGAAATGAAGACAAGATATTGAATTAGAATTTAGTTACGTCACTGTGTTTTCAATGCTAGAACGATTTGGTTTACTTTAAAACACTTGTTTTACCTTGATATCAAAGTAAAAAACTTTTTTATTGATCTCTCAGCAAGGTGCTTTTTGTGTTATGAAAGGTCATAGTGATAAGACCAAACTATAAACTGATCATCGATTGTAAACAACCAGAAAAACCCTTTTTTATTAGTGTTTTGTGAAGGAGTTTCACCGAAAACGTGCTTTTTCAGGAAATTTTGTTGAAAAATTGATAATTATTTTTGTTTTGGGGTTATTTTATTGAAATGTATATTTTACAAGGTTTTTTTGTTAGAACGTTTATGTGATTGACTGTTACTCAACAAATCTTTTTTAAAGAATAGTTTTGTACTAGGTTAGGGTAGAGTAGGGTGATATAAAAAAGCCAAAAGGTAAGGATTTGGGGAGCAGTAGGATCTTTTCTCTCCTACAGTTTTTTTAAAGTTTAACTTGGTTTTTTTCTTAATTTTGATCATTTTTGACTGATCGGGATGTACTTTGTTGATATTGAAAAAATTGAAAAATTGCTCCATGCCATTTGAGGACAAAACATTAGTTTTTTTTTTATTTTGTGGCTATAACACAACCTGTTAGCATTTAAAAAATTTAAATTTTATTTATTTGTATACAATTTTAAAAATTGGTGGTTGGTTAGTACTTACCGAACGATTTTCGGCTATTTTTGATAAGATTTTAAGTTTGTATAACTTTTAGTTAAATGTATTACAAATATTTTGAATACAGTAAGGTTGGTCTTTTTGTGTTTTAGTTTTGTAATTTTTTAAAAACAAACGTTAGTTGCTAACCCAAATTTACAAGGAAAGTACCCAACCTGCCCCGCTCAGAATTATCTCAAAATTTTTATATGAATTCTTTGTACTACCAATAGTACCCATAAAAAATTTTAGCTCGCGCTTTTGAGTTTTGTGTTTCAAGCACTTTTTTCGGCTTTCCAGACAAGATACGCTTACAAATTTAAAAATTTAGGTTTATTTAAAGGTTTTCTACTAGTATATCAAAGAAAAATTATTAAAAGTCAAAAAATGACAAAGTTACAAGCTTGAAACACAATGCCGAGTTGGCGGGAAATTCAAAATGTCATTATTTAATCTCGATTTTCTTGAGATTCCTGGAAAGCGCGATTTAGTACATTGCTGAAGATCTTATATTTACATGATCTTTCTTTATAAAAAGTTTGAAGTCAATCAGAGCGGGGCAGGTCGGGCACTTTCCTTGTTAGTTTAATAGCTACGCTAGAGCCAATTCATAAAATAACAGTATGTAGCTACATGTATTTAAAATAAAAGAATTTTTTGGTTTAGTAATGACACCCCTTCTTCGACCAAACCCACATTTTTTAACAATACCAAAACGGCTAGCCTCTCGTCAAGTGTTGGACAATAACTACGTGATACCGGATGGCCGTGTTTTGAGGATTCAACGTGCTGAACCAGAAGATAAGGACGCTTTGTTCACTTTCTACCGCGACAATTTTTCAGTTCAAGAGCCAATCTCAAGGTATTTGAAGATAACATTCGAGGATCTGGAAGGAGCTTTTTATGGTCCCATCTTTGATATGGCATTGAAACAAGGACTGAGTACGGCGGCGTACGATGGCGACAAGTTGGTTGGGGTCTCGATTGTCACTTTGAATCCGGTGGAACAACGAACTCTACTGGTACCTCAAAATGAGTTTGGAATTGGTAAGTTTGGTTTTTTTGTAGTGAGGTAGGGTAAAGTAGGTTTTGTTTGATGGTGGGATAGGGCATGATGGGTTAAGTGTAGAGTAAGGTAAGGTGGTTTAAAGTAGGGTAAGGTAGAGTAGGGGAAATTACAGTATTTTAGGGTAGGGTAAGATAGGATACGGTAGGTTAGGGTAGGATACGGTAGCGTAGGGTGGAGTAGAGTAAAGTATGCTATGGCATTTGTAAATAAATTCACATTCAGACGCCGATAAATACGCGAAACAACTAGGAACATCAGTAAACGGTGGGATATTGTACTCGTTGTTGATGCATGGTGAAGCTATATCAGTGTCATTGCTACCTGAAGAAATTACTCACCTTGTTCGAGCTGAAGCTGGTAGTGTCAGTCCAGATTATAGGGGGTAAATTTCAAAAAAAAATTATTTTTGATAATAAAAGGAGATTTTAATTTTTTTTGTTGAAAAAAAGTAGTTTTTAGACTTAATACTATGTAGATATATGTAGATGTAGAATTATATTTTAGATATAACTTATGATTATAGAGCTGATGTGAGACGGAAATTGGCCATAGAATCGGCTAAACTGGCGGCTTCTGAAGGGTACGAAGTGATAGACACATTGTGTTCAGCTACAGCTTCTACTAAAGTTATGGGCGATGTAAGTAGCATACCGTTTTACTATAGTAATGTACAATACTATTGCGATGGTACTGACAAAAATTATTTGTGGTACTATACACTGAAAATCGCCGTACTTTAAGATTTAGGATCATAGTACGGTAGTACTGTAGAAATTTTTAAACTTTATTATATAGACTTTAAAAATCTTTTTTTTGTACATATTTGCGGTTCTAGTACGATGGTACTGAGAAAAAAGTAAAAATAGTAGTACTATATAGCACGGAAACCTAAAATACAGTACAAATTTACCAATACAGTACGATGGTTTTTACTGCTAAGAATTTCTACTATGCAGACGTTAGCTTTTTTAGGACGATACTATTACAGTACGATGTAAAAACATACTCAAGGTAGATTAGTAATAGTACGACTAGAAAATATATTGACAGATAGTATTATAACTGTACGATGCTAATTCAAATTACGACTTTTAGTGCGGCCTAGTGACAAGACATAAAATGGTGTACAAAGACATGACGTACCACGGTAAACCCATCTTCCCAACGCCTTTACATGATGATAATACTTCGATGAATGTTATGCAAGGATCGATAAAAGACTTGTCTACGCTTGAATGTCCTAAAGAATCGACCATTCAGAAGTACAAAAAGAGGATGGCTAGGAATTAGGAATTTTAAAATTATTAAAAGGTGTATTAATAAAATTTTTAATTTTTAAAATTTTAGGAAAATTTCTATGAAATTTCAAATTTTTAAAAAAATTATACGATTTTCGAAATTTAAAAATAGATATTCGGATCTCAAGGGGAGATCCTATAGGTATAAAGCTATAAATTAAAAAATTAGAGGAAAAAAGGAAGACAAAATAAAGATAAAAAGACAAACAACGTAAAAGGGGGGAAAGACAAGCAAAAGTAGGGTCAATAAATCTAAAAGGGATAAATAAGGGGGGACAAAGGAAATCGAAATTCGAACATAATGAGAAGCTTCTGTATAATATTAGCTTCAAAAATCGGTCCATTTTTTCTGTAATGGTACTCGAAAAAGGTTCGAAGGTAAAAGGGGAAGGGAAAATATAATTTGATTTTTCATTACCATCAGAAAAACCTTTAACATAGTCACTTTTAGACTCAATAATATCAATTGTTACCTGAATTTTGACATCCTTTTCAACGTCTTTGAAATCTTGGACCAATAAGCTTTCATTCATCGTAGGTTCTTCAACTTGAGTTGTAATTGGTGTCACTTTCTCAATGATCTTCTTATCAAGTAAGACTTCTTCAATAATTTGGTTAACATCGTGCAATTCTGTGGCTTCTGATTCGACTTGAGTTTTGGTAATCCATTCTGGGGGTATTGTCAATATATTCTGAAGCTGGAATGAATGGTTCTCGACTTGGTTCTGGTTTGGGAGTGAAAATCGTTCTTGCTCGTGCTTTCTTTCTTTCATCTCGAATTCTTCTAAAACAATGATCAATATTATGATTAAGCTTGTTACAATATAAACGTTTTAGACGTGGCTTATTAAAATTGTAACCCGAGTTGTACCCACGCTTCTCTACAAGTCGGGTTGACAAAAATCCTGATTTGAATTTTGATCTTGCTGGAAATACTGAGACATTTGGCCAAAGTTTTCGTGATGTTGTTGATTATCCCAAGGAGCTTTTTGACAATATAAACCATCAAAAGCAGTAACAGCGATTTCAACAGCCTTTTTGAATGGAACATCGCCTCTAGCAGCTAAAGCAATGTGAACTTCTGGAAAATTTATTCCCATAAGGAACTTTCTCATTAGGTTAACCTCCAGAATATCAGTTGGGGTATTTGGGTAAGCTCGCAATGTTACTCTGCGCACGATATCCGCGTAGCTTTGGATACTTTGATCGCGTTTCCTATACAGTGGCTTCAAATAGTTGTCGATTGCCTTTTTTGCATCGAATTCAGAATCTAACAATTCATTTTTCAGAAGCTTTATTTGCGAGTCGAGAGAAGCCTGTGGATTTTCAAACTTAATACGATTCAATGTCAATCTAGCGTCTCCAGTTACTTTACTTCTTACTATGCTTGCCTTCAGGAAAGCAAAAGATCTGGATTTTCGTTGCCAGTAATACTCGGGATCATATTTTGCGTTAGTATAAAAGTAGCTGTGTCATTGGCTAGGGGTTGAGGTGAAGAATCCTCTTTTTGTTTTACTTCCCCACTATCAGCAGAAACCGTTCCCGTTTTGTCTTTTTCCTCAATTTCCTTGACTATTAGTTTCTAAAACAATATTTTTTTGCGATAAATCTGTCACAGTATTAGATAATACTTTTAAAGCGCTTATAATTTCGTCGAGCTTGGAGTTATCTCCAGCTCCACCTTTAGTATCAGCCATTCTTGCCTAAAAACCAACAAAAAGAAGAAAAGTTTACCTTTACTTGGGTCTTTGATCATGAGCTGGAGTCGAGGCTAGGCAAAGTCGGGTTTGGCTGGTCTTTGGCTGGCCTGAAAAAGTAACAAGTTAATATATTGTTACCTAAAATAAGGTCACGAACGCGGAAATCAATTTGGATTTTTGATCGAGATGCCAAAGAATCGAAAAAGACGTCGATTCTGGATTTTTTTAATCAATAAAGACGTTGATTTTTTAACTCGGGGAGTTGTGAAATGACAATATTTGTCTCTTTCACCTACGTATAGTATCTCAATAAAGACGTTGAGACTTTATACGGAAAACCAATAAAGACGTTGGTTTTAGTACTCAATTTCGATAAAGACGTCGAATTGGTACTTATAAATCGAGAAAAACGTCGATTTTTTACTCAAAATCCGATAAAGACGTCGGTTTTGTTTACAGAATTCGATAAAGACGTCGAATTACTACCTTATGTTGATCGAAAGACGGATCAAAGGTAAATCTTTACACGAAGTAAAGCAAAAACAACAAAAGAATTGACAAAAATACACGTAAATTTCGCGAAAAGTGTCTATAACAATATCGAAATCAATGTGAATAACTAACAAAATCGAAAAAGGTATTAAAAGTGTTTCCAAAGTTCTCAAACGGATACAATAAGGAAATCACAAAAAATTTTGGCCCAAAAACAAAGTATTCACGGAAAGTTCAATATTAATATCGACAAAGACCAATATCATATTAATATTCACTCAAAAAATCGCGAAAGAAAGCGAAAATTTTATCCAAAAAATATATTGTTTTTGACAAAAATAATATAACCGAAGATTGTAAAAGCTCTAAGCCTGTGGTCGCCAATTCGGATCTCAAGAGGAGATCCTATAGGTATAAAGCTATAATACGATAACAAGCCCACGATATAAGGTTATAATATTTACCTTCCTCAATACGTTCAACAATAATAATATAAACCGATAACGATAAGATCCAGGTATAAAGTATGTGACGTCCTTCGGACGTCCCAACTGTCCTGAGCCTGCTGACCAACTATTGACTGTCCTGTTGCTTGATCGTCCTCTTCTTTTATCGTGCTGTCCACGTACGTGGTGCGGAATGCCAAGTGCTGTTCGTTGTCGTTGCGGGACCCAAAGGGTGCGCTCGTGCTAGGTCCAACTAGATTTTACAAAAGTGGGTAACCATATACCGGCCCGGTTTTTTTAAAAGTTTCTAACAAGTTCCAGATCGGCCTAGTAGAACTTCTTTCAGATCTAATGATACGTAAGCCGTTGAACTTACAACGAAAGTACTCAAACTTGCTTTGCTCGAAATCAACTCAAAATCTTTATATGAATTCCTTGTGCTACTAATAGTACCTATAAAAGATTTTAGCCCACTTTTTTGAGTTTGATGTTTTAACCATTTGAGTTTCCTGTCAACTTGTTCAATGTGGCATTGTGTTTCGACGTCTGCTATTGTCTTTTCAGACAAGCTACGCTTAAAAATTTAAAAATTTCATTAAGGTGACCCATTTTTTAGGGTGACCTATTGCGGAAGAGACCTAATCAGAAGTGACTTATTCAGTGCGGTGACCTATTCTCGGGGCCGTTAAAAATGTGTTAATTTCAAGATTTTCTACTAGTATATCAAAGAAAAATTCTTAAAAGTCAAAAATGGCAAAGTTATAATTTTGAAACACTCAACATTATGCAATGCGACCTGAAAGACATGGTTAATATGGAGTGCCCCAGGCAGAAAATTATCGACAAATTTCGGAAAATAAATTCAAAATAAGGCTTTATAAAGAAACGACATTTGAGTTGGAATAAACTTACTAGAATATTCATGTTGACTATTTATAAATTATGAAAGCCTTTTCTGCTTTTTCCGTATCTAACGACCCGCAGCCTGCACTTATGCTATTCAATCGGCCGCAGCGTGCGAAACGTGAAGATTCGTTTTGAAGGGTATTTTTGGCCAAATAAAGGTTAGAACAAGATAAAAGAGAAGATACTAGGACAGGAAAAGGACGTAAAACAATCGTAACATGATAAATATATTGTGGAAAGCATAATCAATGCTTGGAAATGGTGAAGTTTGAGTTATTTTGTTGTTTTTTATGGTTTTAGGCTTGAAACTCGAAGAATAAGATGGATAACATGATGGAAAATAGTGGAGATGGGTAAGTTTGCAGTGATAGGCGTTTGACATGTTTTGTATAAGTTTTAAAGCTGATATCTTTGCTTTTTAAAGTTTAAAATTTTAAAAACCTTGTTTATGAGATCTCATTTGAGTTATGTTACCTAAAATTACTGTAACTGTCTGAAAACCGAATAAAAATTGAAAAATTAAAAAAACTTTCTAAAAATTTTTTATATTGCTTAAATTAGCATAATTTTGGATGTTTTCTCCTTTTTTTGGATATTTTCCATCATTTTCCTTCAAAATCCCACCAAATTTGAATAATTTACGTGGCCGAAAGTGCGTTGATGAGGAAAAAGTCAAAACCGGCGAGACTCTTCATTCTTCATTCATTCCAAGCGAAACTTCGATCAGTGTTCAGTGGATCGAAATGGTGATCATCAAGTGGCTTCTCGGACTGGGCCTGCTGGGCGTCGGCGTGCATGGCTTCTCGGCGCACGAAGAGCTGATGGCGTTCAACTTGACCAAGGCGGGCGTGGACTACGAAGTGACTTCGGACCCTTTTCGCATTGCCGTAACGCATATAACTCGCAGCAAGGAGTGTGCAAAGTAAGTAAGATGGCAAGTATAATAGTGGTTTTTATGGGTTTCATTTGGAAGATGCTGCTTTATTTATTTTTTAAGTAGTAAGAGTCAAGACTTAACTATGATTTTCATATCTTTTACCATGTTATTCAGGGAGTACGCGTGTGTTTGTTACAATTCCAAAGACGGTGGCAAGCTGAAGGAGCAGGCGTTAGCTACGAATTTGCCCGACTGCGTCAAAACTAAGGGATTCATGTGCGGTTCGATTGGAACTTTCAATTACTACGTTTCGTTGCGTGGCCAACTCTTCTCGGTGGACACGGCCGAGCACGCGGACATTCCCCCGTTCAAGGTGGAGATGCGATTGAACGACGAATTCAACTACGTTCCGGTCATTTCATTGCAAACTCCGCCTGCGTTAAAAAACCCTAAAAGCTGTCAATTCTCCATCACGGCGGTGGGTTTTTATTTTTTTTTAAATTTTGTGTTTAGTTTTTTGGATTTTAAAATTTCTAAAATTGTCATCGAAATTAAAAAAAAATTATTTTTGGCAAAAGTGCTTTTGTTACCTAAAATATTGAGCAAAACTTCCTATTAAGTTGTCAAATAATTCTGCGCCCCTTAACTTCGAAAATTTGCTTTGAGAGGGGGCTCATAGTTTGTTGAACAATTTAGTAGAACGCTTTGAGTTTAAATTGCCATATCTTTTTAAATATAATTTTAAAAATTCTGAAAATTTCGTAAAACCATGAAAAGATACCATAGTATCAAATGGTAAAACAATATTCTAAAAATATTTGCCGGTCCATAAGTTATGGGTAAAATATGACGCTTGTTCCATAAAACTAAAACTAAAGTTTTATTTTTTTTTAATTTTCAAATAAAAAAAAATATTTTTTTCAACTTTAAAAAAATAAAATTTTTTATTTAATTTTTTCATTTTTTTAAGCTAAAATTTGAATTTCAGCAACATCTGAAACCCTTCAAACAGGCCAAAGCCGCCATGGAGGACAAGGTCATCAACTGCCCTGATTGCAAGAAGTGCCAACTTAGTGGTCCCGATTTTGGAAACCCGAACGAGTGATCTGTCTATATTGTTCTTATACGCCCAATAAATATTATTTTATTTTTTGATTTTGAATATGTTTTATATGTTTTGGTCGTTTTTCTTATTTTTAATATTTTTTAATGGTTAAAAATATCATTCTGAATTAAAACTGTTTAAAAAATTAAAAATGATAAGGCTTTTAAGGTTTAATTTGATTATTATCTAATTCTACGTGTCATCGCAAATAACCGCTGCTTAAAATTATACGAGTCATTTTATTCCAGTCTTATCAGTGGACGTATATAAACAATGTTGAAATGTGGGTTTGGTCGCACATTGTTTCCTGGTTTATATTTTTGATAGGAATTTAGGTTTACTTTGAACTGTTTATTCCTTATTGGCGACAAATTTTGTACTAGTACTAAATAAGACAAAGTTGTTCGTACTATTTTTAAAGTAAACGTGCTATTTTTATAGCAAAAGTACTATTTTAGAATATTTTTAAAACCGGCTCTACTAGTGCTATTATTTACGTGATATTGTAGAACAATGTCGCATTGTGTAACATTTTTTACAGTATTTTTTTTTACATTAGCTATAAGTGCTTCTGGAATTGACACAGGTGTAGTTAATGTAGAACAAGGCGAATTACAAGGTACAATTAAAAGATTTGGTAACAAAAACGTTGACTTTTACCTTGGGATACCGTATGCTAAAGCTCCACTAAACGAGGACACGTTTGCTGTGAGTTGTACATGAATATTGACAATTACCGAGATTACTTTGTGTAATTAAAAAATTTTTTTTTGTGGTTGGGGTAGAGTTGGGTACGATAGGGTAAGTCATGGCAGAACAGGGTAGTGTAGCGTAAGATAGAGTATTTTAAGGTGGGGTAGGGTATAATAGAAAGCGATAAGAACCTAAAGCAGGTGTTCTGTAGAGTACCTTGACGGCAAAATAGAGGTATGGTAAAGGAAGTTATACTAGGTGAGGCAAAGAAGAATAATGTAAGGTAAAACTACTTAAGGTAGGATAGGGTAGGCCGTGATAGAGATATAGCGTAGTACGGTAGTTTTGGAACTGTATTATATAGTACTATAAAGTAGAGTATAACAGGGAATGATAGAGTAAAGCACACTAGGGCAGGGTAGGTTAGGGTAAGGTGGGATAGGGTAGTGTATGGTGGGGGTAGGGTATTAAGTTAAAAAAATCAGTTAAACTTTTTTTTTCAGCGGCCAAAAGAAAGCCGAGAAATGGGAAGGAGTAAAACGGGTGGATAAGTTTGCTCCAGCTTGTTATTACCAAGATTCAAGCAATTTGAAAAGCGGCGAAAGTAAAGATTGTCTCTATTTGAATGTGTTTGTTCCTGGTGATGTAAGTTTTTTTACTGTATCTTAAAAAAATTTGCAACTCCTTACACTACCCTACAGTACCCTGCTCTACTTTACCCTACCCTACCCTACCCTACCCTACCCTACCCTACCCTACCCTACCCTACCCTACCCTACCCTACCCTACCCTACCCTACCCTACCCTACCCTACCCTACCCTACCCTACCCTACCCTACCCTACCCTACCCTACCCTACCCTATCCTACCCTACCCTACCTTACCCTGCCCTACCCTGCCCTACCCTACCCTACTTTATCCTACCCTTTCCTACCTTACTCTACCCTACTCTACTCTACCCTATCCTATCCTACTCATACATCTAATTTAAGGGGTCTCTAAAACCAAAAGATGGCTTCCCTGTGCTGTTCTTTATTCACGGTGGAGCTTATATCTACGAATCAGCGGAGCATTACGGTTCGGATACTGTAGCCGAACTGCTGCCAACTCAAGATATTATCGTAGTAACCTTCAACTACCGTCTTGGGGTGCTTGGATTCTACAGTAATGGCAATGAAAGTGCCCCAGGCAATCAAGGCTTGTGGGATATGGCAGAGGCTTTGCATTGGACATACAATAACATTAAAGCACTTGGTGGAGATCCTAACAGGATTACTGTGGCTGGTCATAGTGCCGGTAGTATGTCCGCTGAGATTCTGAGCTTGTCGCCGGTTACGAGTCGTAAGTTTTATGGGTTGTTGTAGCTGCAGTAGGGCTTGCTGTAGGGTAGGATAGGGTACAGTAGTGTAGGGTACGGTACGGTAGGGTAGGGTAAGGGTTTTTATATAATATTTTACCACTTCAGACATGGTCTATCAAGTATATTTAATGTCCGGCACCAACGACTTTCAATGGGAACCAGTAACACCACAACTTGTCTATGACAGTATTTTTGATATGGCTACCGTATACTTTTTGAGTTACAAAGGAAGCAAATCGGATTCTGATGCTTTTACTGACTTTTTGATTTCTCAAAATCCAGAGAATTTGCATGTTCGTTACTCTAAAAATGGTGAAGCTAAAGAAGTGTTCATCTGGCCAGTGTACGATGGGCATCTGATTCCGGAGAAAATTGCCGTTCTACGACAAACGACCAAAAGAAGACCAACGTTGGTTGGGTGTACTAGATACGAAGGCATGCTGTTGAGTACGTTGAATTTTGAAGTTTAAAAAAATTTTTAATTTTAAATTTAAAAAATTTAAATTTTTGATAATTTCAAAATATAATAATTAAACTGATAATTCAGAAATTTGAAAGATATATTCTTAAAATTTAAATAATAGAAGATAAGGCAACAAAGCTTGCTAAAACATGCCATTTTAGTTGACAACCCAGACTTCAAGAAAGCCGCCTTGCAAGTTGTGGCACGGCATGTTCTGAAACAAGAAGATTACAAAGAAACAAAGCATGAGTCGACGGCCAATAATATTCTGAATCGATTTTCGAATGAGAATAGCTTCAATGAGACACAAGAGTATAGGCAACACTATATGGAGGTAGGTATGAAGGATGGTTAAGGTAGATAAAAGCAATGTAGGGTTCGGTAGAGCACGCTAAACTAGTGTCCTGACTACTGTAGGGTAAGATGCAGTATGGTGGGGCGGATATGGTATGGTAGGGTAGAGTAGGGTAGGGTAGGGTAGGGTAGGGTAGGGTAGGGTAGGGTAGGGTAGGGTAGGGTAGGGTAGGGTAGGGTAGGGTAGGGTAGGGTAGGGTAGGGTAGGGTAGGGTAGGGTAAAGTAGGGTAGGGTAGCATAAGATAAAGTACGGTAAAGTAGGGTAAGGTGCGGTAGGGTACGGTAAAGTAGGGTAATGTAGATTATATTATGCTATATTGTACCACATTCCAGTTGATGTCAGACATATTCTTCAACACAGGCATCTATCGTTATGTAATGCAACATACCTCAACATCAGAAAAGCCGATCTATGTATACCGCTTCGACTACTATTACTCAAAGTATCAGAAGTCGAAAGAACGTCTTCTCGATGGCTCTACTCACGGTGACGACATACCATTCGTACTGGGACAGTTCAACATCAAAGGTGACGAGTACAACTACGAGGATACTGTAGCAAGAAAGCAATTTTCGAAGTTTATTGCAAATTTTGTAAAATACGGCCGCCCTAATGGACCTGTTGACATTGGTAATCGAGGTGTTGAGGAATGGCCACCGGTCGATTTACAGAGTAAAAAACTGAATCATATGGTGTACAATTACTACGACAATCACATGAGTGACAACTGGTTCGAGGAGAGACACTTCGAGTGGATAAAAATTCGAAAAGAATACCAAAGTTACAGTACTTCGGCTGGTTACGGTCGTTTTGTTGGGTTAATGTTGTTGTTGTTGTGGTTGGGGTGGTAAAATGTTATTAAATGCTGACATAAAGAACCCGCCATTTTTTACAGCAATTTACTAGAAAAGTATGGCGAAAGTATGGCGGGTTCTTCATGTCGGCACGTAACAAAAATTATTTTATTATTGATTTTATTGTAAAATACGAGTAAAATCATAACACAGGTACTTTTAAACCTTCAAATAATTAATATAATATTTATTGTGGTATTTACATTATGTACAACGTCTTTTTCAATCATCTACAAATCTCGAATAGACCATTTTTCTCAGTATGATACTATTTTACAGTACCATACACAATTTCTGACTAAACTTAACAAAAAATAGTAACACAGCTTGCCTATAAGATATGTTGAAGATGTTTTACGATGTATAAACAGAAGATACCGAGCAGTAAGAAGCCCCAGTAGGTATACTAACCTCTTCGAATACCGGCAATTGCTCCCAGCATTCAGAGCTGGCATCAGGGAAGAAGACTCGAGCCAAAACCATCGATTCACGAAGTTCTGTGCCCCGATTCTGAAAGAGAGATAGGTATTAAACCTCATTTTTTAAACGAAAGCATACACTACACTAACCTACCCTACCTGAGCTTACCCTTCCTTACCTTACCGTAATCTTCTATACTCTATATCACCTTACCCTAGCCACCCTACTCCACCGTTCCTCAACCTACCTTACCTTGTCTTACCAAATCCTACCCTACTTTGTCTTCACCAACCCTGACAAAGGGGCTGGTAAAGACAAAGAGTATAGTACAGTACCATACTGTATCATACTCAGCTTTAAAATTACTTCACCCACCCTACAACAATATAAACTTACAGATATATGATGAACAAGTTGATGAATCTTTCCGATTCTCTGACCAATGTTAGCTACACCGTACATGTTAGCAACGTAGTAGACTAACTCTGTGTTCAAGGCGTCACATGTTGTTTGAACTTCTGGCATCACCAAGTTTAGGTCGTTTACTAAAAATTGTTTTTCAAAGGTTAAAGTAATGTAAATTGAGGTAAAGTAAGGTAACGTATGACCTGGCTTGACCCGTTATCTATGTTTAGGTAGAGTAGGGCAAGGTAGGTCAAAGAAAGAGTATTGTAGGATACGATAAAGCTACAGTACAGTAAATTAAGCTTTAAACTTACTACAATTACAAAACATGATGTAAGCCATAGCCATAAGTTCAATTTCAGTCAACTGAACACTGCCAATCATGTCCGACGTGAACATTAAGTTGTGCACAATAGGCCTAGCAAACCTCAGATGTTCTTCGGCGTTCTCAGAGTCTTCGAAGAACACTCTAACCACGTCTTGGTCACAATAGTAGCCATAGTGCATGATCAGTTTGGTCGATTGTAGTCGTTTCGACGCCTTCGATGATACATACGATCGATGTAGACATAGGAACTCTGACATGAATATCTTCAGTACTTGAGCCTTGATGTCTTTGTTGAGGGTGCGGTAGATTGGTGCTGTGTCGAGAAGAAGAGAGTGAACTAAAGATACTGTACCTTTTTCCATTCGAAGATGCTCTGGGCGGGTCACTGGCTTGAATTTGAAGTCCTGTAGAAAGAACGTTTAAAAAATATAGTACGATAAGATTTATCCTTCAATAAGACTTACACTTTAAAAAATTACTGTAAGATATGTCTTAGGTTTATAAAATTACAACAGAGTAAAAAATTTAGTTAAAAATACAGTACTATAAAGTAACAGATGCATATAAGCTGTAAAATACAAATTATAGTAACAAAAGTCATAAACCTTACGTCAAGAGTACTGAACAAGTCTTCCGGGTTCTCCACAATATATAATGATCGTTCGGCGCTGCAAAAGTTACGGTAGTGCGTTACGGACATATCTAGTAGTCGTGTCGCATTGTTTGTTAGCTAAAAAGTTATTTTTTTAAAATTAGTAAAGCATATGAGTAGAATAGTGTATAGCACATAAGTAGAGTAACGTAAAGCACCAAAATTTTTATGTGATATCTTATAACAAAGGAAGGTAAGCAAGGTGAGGTAAGATGAGAAAAAGTACAGTAGAGTGTAATACAAAACAGAACAATAGAAATTAAGACACAATAGGGTAACTTAGAGTGAATGGGTCGGGTAAGATAGAATAGAGTGTAATAAAGAAAGAGATTGTAAAATAGGATGTAAAAAGGTAAGTCATGTGTAGGACTGGCTAAAGATCGGGCTAACTATATATAATTATATAGTGAAAGAAAAGCTAAGACAAAAGCTAAGCTAGGCTGGGTAGGCTTGTTATAAGACTAGAGCAAGGGTTAGGGTTCTGGGCTAGAACTCTAAGCTAGGACTCTATACTAAAACTCTAGACTAGGGCTCTAGGCTAGGACTCTGGGCTAGGACTCTGGGCTAGGGCTCTAGGCTAGGGCTCTGGGCTGGAGCTCTGGGCTAGGGCTCTGGGCTAGGGCTCTGGGCTAGGGCTCTGGGCTAGGGCTCTGGGCTAGGACTCTGGACTAGGGCTCTCAGCTAGAGCTCTGGGCTAGGGCTCTGGGCTAGGGCTCTAAGCTAGGGCTTTGGGCTAGGACTCTGGGCTAGGGCTCTGGGCTAGGGCTCTGGGCTAGGCCTCTGGGCTAGGGCTCTGGGCTAGGACTCTGGACTAGGGCTCTCAGCTAGAGCTCTGGGCTAGGGCTCTGGGCTAGGGCTCTAAGCTAGGGCTTTGGGCTAGGACTCTGGGCTAGGGCTCTGGGCTAGGGCTCTGGGCTAGGGCTCTGGGCTAGGCCTCTGGGCTAGGGCTCTGGGCTAGGACTCTGGACTAGGACTCTGGACTAGGGCTCTCAGTTAGAGCTCTGGGCTAGGGAGGTCTAAGGGCTCTGGACTAAGAAACTGAGCGGATATAATAAGGTGAATCAATTTAATCCAAAGGTAAAATATATTTTAATTAAAACCTCACTTCAAGCATGGGCATCTGAATACTTGGTGCCTTAACGTTAGCATTATAATCCACTATACAGCCATTTTGTTTAGGTGAACAAGAAGCCGAGCTCTCGTGAATATCAGCACAAGGCACTTCACCTTTCATACCCACAAATCTACATCGTTCCAATCGGCACGCTCTACATGTGTTTCTTAACTCAGCTTTGGAAACGTCACAATTCCCTCGATTGCGACATTTATAAGATTTTCGTTCGACCAAAGATCGTCGCCAAAATGAAGAACAAGCACGACAAGCCAGAACACCAAAATGTAGACCGTGATGACGTTCGCCACACACGGCACAGCCGGTTGTCGAAGTGGGCTTATGGTTCATATGAAAAAATTGATTTAGTGAAAATAATATATATAGTATAATAATAGCACGATCATAACACATAAAAATCATATGGAGATAGAACTAGGGCTAAAATTAGAACCAAGACTTAGCAAAAGCCTAGCCAATGCTAGGGCAGCTAAGGCTAAAACCAAGCCTAAGACTAAAAATAAAACCAGGAAAAAGAATATACTTGAGCTGTAGCTAAGGCTAGATTTATGGCTAAAGGCGAGAGTAGGTCTATACCAATGGATAAAAGTAAGGCTAGGGCTAATACAAGAACTATGTTTAGGTTTACGACACTGAATAAAGCTAAGCATAAGGCTAGGCCCGCTAAAGGTAAATCTAAAACCCAACCTTAAGTTTAGGACTATGACTATGGTTAAGTACAAGGCTAAGGCTAGGTATAAAGCAAACGCTAGAGCTAAGGCTAGGGCCAGAGAGCTCAAGTTTGAGAATATAGCTAAGCTTATAGCTAGGACTTTGTGTAAATTAAAAAAGCAACTTTTTAAACTGTAACAAAATTTAAATTTAGCGACAAAAATATAAATAAAACATCTTTCACGATAGAATAATATCAAATAATTTTTCTGCAAGGCTGGGGTGAAAACCAGCATCTTATTTCCTCGCTTCCTCTTCATCCACACCAAAATAAATCCTTAAAATTTAAAATCAAATAATATAACTTCTAAGCAAAAATTTAAATTTATAGATTTTAAAAATGCAAAAGCAGTTTTAACTCTTTTAATTTTGATTTGGTCTTTCGAATTAACGTTCCCATTACAATTAGCAGAAAAAACTACTGTCAAATAAACCTTCAAGACCTTTAAAAACATTAAAAAAGCGAAAAAAACTAAACGTAAATTTCGAAAAACATGTATAAACAAGCTTTTTCAATAGTAAAAACAAAATTGAGCGATTTTGAAAAAAGCCCAGAAAAAAACAGAGTAAATCGCATTAGGTAAATATTTAAAAAATTGCTTCTTACTATAAATTTTACCCCTCTTAATTCCCTTTGTCTTTCTTTGTGAACTACCCTTTAGTACGCCCCTCTAACACCCCTCCAGCGCCCAAAATAATTCCAAGCCTTCATAAGTCCGCCTAACCTTGCAATTAAACATGGTCCAGGTAAACTCTTTAATTGGCATTACTTTGCACAATAAAAACAAAATTAAAAAGCGGCTTTTAGAAAGATTATTCTCTCGTTTTGACACAAAAACAAACGTCAATAAGGGGGAAAAGTTTAAAAAGGTATCGATCGAGAAGCGCGTGTTCAGACTTCCTCAATAGGTATATTAATCAATGGCGACAAGCAGAAAGTGTAGTTGACTTCAACGTTTTGTTACAAGTGTCAAAAAAAGTTTACGTAAAAGTTTTTATAAAGTCATTATATAAAACCTCAAGTCATTTACATATCCTACCCTACTCTACCCTGCCCTACCCTACGAACCCCCCCCCCCTCTCCCCCACACGTAGCTGCTACCTGTGCCGATTTTTTCGACCACCGCCCTCAGGCCAAAAGTCCCCGCCCGGCACTGCCCACTATACTTTACTTTACCCTACCTTAACATACCCTAAAATGAAAGCCTACTATGCTGTATAAATTAGTCATTTCGAGAAGCTCTTCAACGAACAGTTAAGTAATAACTATAATAATAGTACTATAATTTTGTATTCAACATTTTCAATTCATTCAAAACTTCAAAACATGTCATTAAATTTAAAAAAAAGTCTCATATACTAATTAAAACAAGAAAACTATAATGATATGTTACAACTACATTAACTTGCTTAAAAGTCATTTTTCGGCCACTTTTAAAAATGGCATTTCATCAAGATTGTAGTTTAAAAAAGCTGTCATTTACTTTGAAAACGGCATCATTTGACGTTAAAATCACATTTAAAATGCAGTTTTAGCAAGTTAATGTCAATAACTTATAAAGATTATATTCAATCTCTCTCTTTTACTCCCTCCTTCTCCCCATATTGAATATATGACAACACAGCATCAATTTCTATTTCAGTACCTACTTTTTGAAACTACTTGTATTAATACTATGCAAAATACAGTAAAATATCCAAATTAAGACTGCAAAAACCATAAAATGAAGCACTATCCCCTTCTCCCCCCCCCCAAAAAAACGTTGTAAACATTACCTACAACAAATTGCAAAAACCAATTGATAATTACAAACGAAAAAGCTTTCTTCAAAATTGTCAATTTAAAAACGCATTAGACGATTAAAAAGTCGATCACCAAAAAATAGGTGACAAACTAGACAAAATCAATCAAAACAGCCCTGTAAGCGGCTCAAATAAGCAAAGAGGAAGACTCAAACTCCAGCAAAAAAAACCGTCATTTATTTTTATCAACACATTTAGAAATCAATATAGTTTGCGATGTTTATTTATTGCCTAACGTGAGGTAGTCAATTAAAGATTAAGTTAAGTAGGTAAAACTAGCCGTATTCTCAGCCCTAGCCCAAAACTTTAGGCCCAGGTTTAGCCCTATCCCTAGCTCTACCTTAAGCTGTAGCCTAGCAGTAGCTCTAAATTTAGCTTTAGTTCTAGGTATAGCTCTAGCTCCAGCCGTAGTCACAGAGCAACAACTAGTCCTCAACCTATTTCTGTTTTACCTTCCCATACACTACATTTACCTTACCTTACTTTTGCCTTACACCGCTCTACCCAGCCATATTCTATTATACTTTTACAAACATAGTAATTGAGTAGTTACTCAACCTAGTTGTACTTTAAACGACAAACAAAAAATGTAACTATCGTACGTACATGTAAATATAACTATTGTACGTGCCAATAGCTATGAGAGTTCTAAAGGAACCTTCGTACTAAAGATTCCATATTACAAGACGTCAAGCTTTATATTACATAACGGAATCATTCTATAGTGAGAGTTGTGATAAAAGTTATACTTTCATAGTAACGTTGGTAGTAAAGTTTAATTAAATGTGTTACAATTAACAAGTGTAATTACGCCTTTCGTTCAACATACAAATATTCGTAGGCGTTTCCTATAATATTACCTATGAAGTGTGTTTAATAGCACTGGGATTAAATGGTGTTAAAAAGTTTACTTTGAATTATTTACATGGTAAAACTAATGCGGTAAACTGCATTAACAACAACAATTTTTCAAACCACTCAATTTTTAAAACAATTTTTTAGGTAAACCAAAATATTTTTTTACCCTCTTCCCTTCTCCTACCCCTCCCATTAGATCAAAATTGCCCGTCCAGTAAAGACATAGACAAAACTTTTAGCGACAAAAATTTGTTTCAAATATACTAAAATATCGCGGTTCTAGACACGCTAATCAAGAACAATTAAAAAAATAATCCGTATTAAAAAACGATTGTTTATTTGATATGGTTATCTTAAATTCACATACTTAAAAAAATTTATTCACTTCACTTTAACACCCCAATAACCAAGTCTTTATATAACAACCAAGCTTAACACCCAGGCACAGTGCCAATGTGATCGCAATAAGGCCCGCTGGGATTGAACACAGTACCAGGTGCACAGTTTTGTTGTACCCATCTACCACTAGCACATTGATAGAACTTGGCACAGTTCAACGGATCACGATGATAGCCAGCTGGCCCTGGATCTTCACGGCAAGCTTGGTCTGGAGACCAATGTGGCTGTGGAGGGAAAGGCTCTTCTGGATAATGAGGGTAGGGCTTTGGATTCTGGGGTGGAAGTGGCTCGAAGGGTGGCTGGGTTGGGCGGGGTGGTTCTGGAACTGAAAAAGAGAGATTTGGCTGGCATTTAGAGATAGAAGAGAGAGAAAAAACAGTAAAACTAATGCGCATGGTAGCGTAGAGGGATAGATAGAAGAAAGCAAGAAAAAGTAAAGTACTAGTATAGCCTTACCCGGATTATAGATGTAAGGACCGTCGTTCTCCGGACATTTGTAGGTCGTTTCACATTCTTTTACTCTTGGATGGAAGCCAGATCCATAAGGGCATTTTCTCAACTCAAAATGACCGTAATCACAACGTTTGAACAAGCTACAACTACCGTTTACTGCCAGAGTTTCTCCATCCACGCATTGAGGTGCTGGAGCTGGTTTTTCTGCAAGAAATTTTTATGCCTTCAACCCCAACATTGTTATAAAAACGTCGAATGCCCCACAGTACCTTCAGTTTACTGGACCTTACTTAATTCTACCTTAAACTATGCTGTCTTGCTCCTTATCCTGCCCTCATTTCCTTGACCCCATAACACCTTACTCTACCTGCCCAACCCATCCTAAATTACCTTCCCCCACATTATACTATTACAAATATAAACACACGTACCAGGACACAGCTCCCCATTTCGATCGTACACTTCACCGTTCTCGCAATCCCACGAGACATCCGGGCGACATTCACGAACATAGTCTTTAGCTACACATTCGCCATCGCGACCCAAAACTGAATCATGAGGACATTGATACTCGATCGGGATGAATCCTCTACAGTAAGCAAAGTCTGATTGACATTTGTCGAAAGCAATGTTTTTCCAGGAGTGATTTCTGCAACAGTTATTGGCTATAGCAAGGGTATTTTTTTAACCGAGAATTGTTTTAGATAACCCTTTGAGTATATACAGCATGCGTATAATAACAAGACTAACAGAAGTGCAAAATTCTGTATCAAAAAATTGAAATTTTTGAAGCTAATGATGACACACACACTTACAAACAATCATACTGTACATGACATTGATCCTCGTCCCTGACAGTTCTGCATCTCTTCGTACTCTTATCAAAGATACTACCGCTTGAACAAAATGAGAATTTTTGACTATCTCGACCACAAGTGACAAACCAGTTTCGACATCTCAAAGAATCTGGCTCGACTCCATCGTGTGGGTCGTAAGAATCATCGTTTTTGTCCTTCCTATTGTCTCTACACCATCTTCTGTTCAAAGTGGCCAAAACTGGGTAGAACACGTTGTTCGAAACAGTCTTCGGACAATTGTCTTTAGTTGGTACACACGACAAGGTATGTATGTCAATAGTATGGCCTGGAATATGAGTTTTACCGTTAAATGTTTCAAAATCTTAGAATTCTTTACTACAGAATGAATTGTAAAGCCTTCGAACTATAAAAATCATGTTTCGTTAGAGTACTCGTGTAAAACAATTACCTTCAGGACAAGCAAACGGAATAGCAGGAATTTCGCCATTTGGAATACACAACATTGCTTGTCTAGAACACTCTTTGAACTTTCCTACAAAGACAGCAGCAGTTTGTGGAGCGTTTCGTTCGCAGAATCCCACTACCTAAACAATACTTCATACAAATCAATTGCATTATTCTAAGCTACCGTACTACCCAAAACAGTACCCTTTAAGTTTGCCTTTGACACAAAAGATAAACTAGTTTACCTGAGCCAATTTCGTACTAGCAGCATTGACCAGATTCACAGCTACATCAAAACAAGCATTTCCCATTTTCTCAATTTTGGTGCATTTATTACCCAAAAACACTCTTCCATTAGCACAACTGCCCAGTCTCACTCTAATGTTTCCAGTTTTGTCATCAGATTCACACCGAAGAAAGTACGGGTTGCATTGACCTAACTGAAGGTCAGGATGGAGATTGTGCCTCAAGTTGTATGAACACAGTTCTAGTAAGTCTCTTCTTAGGATCCATTTTTCACTGCCTGCTGATAGAGTAGGTATTACTACCGTAGCGAGCAAAAGCAGAAGAACTTTCATGTTCACATAAATTTCCGGATTTAAATTAGAACGTCCTCTTTAAGCCTAACAAACCTTATTCTCAACCCTAGGAATCTTTAAGTGATTCAAATTCAAAATGAATCCCACGTTGAATCGAGATCGGCTCCGTTTATTTGACGTTTTTATAACAATGTTGGGGTTAAAGATTACATACAGATCGTGTTAATGAGCAATTAAGTTAATCATCGATTCATGACAAGACAACATTCAATACAGTTTTCGTAGAAATATCGGAATAGATCGGTTTTGTTCTTGTTTTTTAAACATTTGCATGTGACTGATGAATTATGTCAGGCAAGTTAAAAAGGGCATTGTTAAGTTAATTTTGACATCTCACGTTCAAGTAGGAAATGGCATTACCTGCGTCGTAAAACTTATTAAAAGATCATTTTTGTACTCAATTACTTCAAAAAAGTAAATTCTCTTCAACCTAATACAATATCAATCAGTCACCAAAAGCACAAAGCCTTGAAAACAATAAGACTATTTTTACAATATAACTTTAGCCATACAACAATAAATAAGAAAAATAAAGCAAATTTAGCTACTTTAGAATCTAGATAATCATTTCAGTTCACATTGATACAATTTTCATACCATATTTTTGGTAAAAGTCTCTTATATACATGTTAATCATAAATCCTAATACTAACAAAAAGTCCAAATCTTTTTGACGCTGGTGAACATGTATAATATAAGCTTACTACCATTAATATTATAATAAAAGTACGGTAAAAAAGATACCATATTGAGTAACCTGCCGGCGTTCGTATGTACAAATTGAAATGCTTTTGAAAATGTTCTCCAACATGGTCGTATCATACTGAGAATTCGTAGGCCTTCTCGCTTACGAATCGGTTTGAGAGTGGGTTGAACCAATCCAATGAGAATGGACCTCCAAACACTACCTACAACAATATCAACTTTTATATATTTTAGTGTAAAAATCATACTTTATACTTGGTAATAGTAGGACAGCTTATAAAACTCAAGTATTTATAAGCTAAAATTACTGTTCGCCCTGCCTTTAAAGAACCAAAACCCCTAAAATAATGTTACAATATCCCTACCTGCATATTCTTCATCCCGTCGTTGGCCTTGTGATTCTCCTTCCTCAGGCTTTCGATTCCCGTTTGATCCGAACAAATGGCTGATAACTGCGTGCCGAACATTACCAACGTAAATATGGAAAACAAAATTGTTTCGAAAAGTAAAAATATCAACATTATTGTTGTCGCAGGTCCGTTAAAGTAGCTGCAGCCTCTGAAGTCCGTATTCACACATTGTACGAACTGACATATTGTCCAGAATAGAGCGTGTAGTGACATACAGGCTATGTACAGCTGAAATGACAGTTGCTTTAACATTTTTAAGGCTTGAAAGTTACCTTACTGTCAAGTTGTTACCAGAAAAATCCAAAAACTTAACTTTGGGTAACAAAAAATTAGTTTTCAAAAGCCCTTTCTAATACTAAAATTCATAATTTATATCGTTTTAACTAAAAAATACTATGAAATTGCAAACCATAATTTTAAAAAGGTTTTAGATAACAATATGCCAAAACTTGCTATACCTAAAAACCGAACAATGTAAAAATCAAAAAACTTACTGTAAATAAGACGAAATACCTTTGGTTACCTTCCCCAACACAATTATTCACCCAAGGACAGTGATGGTCCATTCTTTTGATACATCTATCACATACGCTGCAATGATGCGCTCGTGATGGTTTTATCGCTGCACACCTGAAAAAGTTGATTATTAAATATCCCAAAATTGACATATATCACGTAAAACTGTTTGTACTACCTTATAAAACAATATGTAAAACATTGGCTTCTATAATTGTAAAGTTAAAAAAATTTTCTCATCTTCAGTATGTTACATAGACTATACGTTAGAAAATATCTTATATATTCATACTTTCATTTCCAATTGGCCTAAAACTAAAATCAAAAGTAAGAAACATACTTATGACACTGATAAAGCGGTTCACCACGTGTTTGTTGTGCTTGCATATGTTTATAGTACTCATCTGTTAAAGTTCCTTTAGGTACAGCTCCTGGATCCGTCATCATTGTCCTCAAATGTGATAAAAACGCCAAGATGGCAAATGTTTGAAACAATATAAAGTTCAGTCCTTGTACTATAGGCCGCACTGACGCTGTCGACATGAATATGAATATCACGCAGAATTCACCATATCCCATCAGAAACCTAAAATTACAGTTTGTAACAAAGTTTTTGTTATATTAATACATTTTAAATGCTTTAACTTCTCTTAAATTTTTTTAACAACAACGTGTCTTGTACAAAAACAGAATTTCAACTGCTCAAAATTGCGTTCAATTTTAAAGTTTGCATAGCAAATCAAGTAGAATAATTAAACATCCACTTCAATATGCTTTAAACTAAACTTCCTTCTCGTTTTCTCTTCATTGTTCGCAATTTATTACCTAAGCCTCAAACAATCAATAAAATCAAATCTTACCATGTGAAAGCGGCGCAGAATAAGCCACAAATGTCCTTGTTGCACCATCTTTGTCCCCAACAATGATTGCGGCCTTCGTAAATGGTGCCATTCGAGGAGCGACCACAACGGCAAAAGAAAACGCGCATCTAACTCCAATTCTGAACACGCAAACCAACTATGAGATTAATATCCAGGTTGTTAATGAAAACCGTAATAATTCTGTTCAAGTTACAGCTAATTAGACTTTGTATGGCGGGAAAACACACGTTCTACTGGCCAACACGTCCAAAACTCCGAAAATTTATTTTTCTTTTGGTTAGAGAGGCCGCGGCTTGCGTGCGGGCTGCGAGATCTGTTTATACGCTAGAACTGGAAACGAGAAAACTGGACAAAAATTGGTCGTGTTTTATTTACAGCTACTTTAGGACGTTTTGAATGTGAATTAGTAAAATACAAACATATTTTTCTTTAGGTATAAATAAAGGAAATTTATTTTCAGTTTATGTACATCAATATTATGTTATCATTGATCTCAATTTCGTCCAAACAATTTCTCGTCGAACTGATCATCGTAAAACAACCTCCGGGCCACCGGGATCATGATCAACAACGTCAGTGTGATTGCCAATGTTGCTATTAGGAAAATGAAGAATAACAACCGGTCGATAACCTCTGCTACCATTCGCCATTTTTCAGCTCGAGATTCTTGTTGGAATTGGTGTCGTTGTTGTTGGAGAAGCTCCTGAAAGTAATGAAAGTAAGTTTTTAGTTCTTTTGTTATCTTAAGTGGTATTATGACTAAAAGTTTAGGGAAAACGTGTTTTTGTTGTGAAAAAGTTAAGGTTGAGCTTATGAAAAGTGGTCTAAATATAAAATAGGTAACAAATTTTAAATTTCGTAAACAAATATCGTTGACAAAGACCACAAGATACGTTTTTACTAAATTTTAGCTAGGTTGTTCTTCGAAAAAGGTTGTTCAAATAATCCTGTGCTTCCTAATTTTAAAAATTTGATTTGGTAGTTGCACCAAATGATGAAACCGTATTTGTACCAAATTAAGAAATCGTAGTTTACCTGAAGCGAAGTTAAAATGGTCGTTTCAACTAAACTGAGATGGTCGTGTTGTCTCACCACAGTGTTATTATTACTTCCGTGGTTATTGTTCTGTTCTGTCGCTGTATCCCCATTAGGAATCATTTCGTATTCGACCTTGTTCACCCCCTTCATACTAATGATAGTAGGTCTCCTTTTCTTGGCCTTCTCACCAGAATACGGTACTTTGGCTATTGTATTTGAAGGTTTCATCTTGATGCCGACCCATCGTCGAAGCTTGTTTAAAAGCCATTCTTCAACCCATTCTGGCACGTCTTCGTTGACAAAGCCACGATGATGAAAGTTGAGGACAAGGACTGTCATCACTACTGAGATTGAGGTCAGGAACATGATTAGGGTTAGGTAGATACCGATGAGCGGGAGGGAGTCTGAGGTTTCTGGCATCTTTTCGGCTACTGCTAACATGAATACCTGGGAAATGAAAAAGTACGTGAAGACGTTCAAGAAAATGGGACAGTGAGAGGTTTTTCTACGGTTTTGAAGGCCAGTGAAGGGGATAGGTAGGGTAATTTGATGGACGACGGAGAGGGGTAAGGTAGTTGAAAGTAGACGGGAGGACAAGGTATTAATAATATGAGTTAACACGGCAAAGGTAATATTTGGGGTTTTAAACGATTTTAAGAAAAAAAAATTGGGCGGGGTGATTTTTTTGGAGTGGATAAAAATTTTAAAACTTACGGAGAAAGCCAATAGCACAGTAATTCCAAGACCGACTTTCTCACCGGAATCTGGAGGTAAATAAAAGACCAATAACGTTAGCACCGACATCATAACACACGGCAGTACTATGTTGTGAATGTAGAACAAGGTCTGAAAAGGAAATTTTAAAATTATAGTTTAATGTAGAGTAGGGTAGGACATGGTCATGTAGGTTTTAAAATTTGAGTGAAAAATATATAGTTTATTTTTTGATGGTTTAGGTAATGTTTGTCTTACCTTTCGTCGTACATGAATGTAGAAGGTAATGTCAGGGTATGGTTCATCACCTAAAAATGAAAGTATGTATTTAATTTTCATTTTCAGATAGGCTGGTTTTGGTAGGGTAGGGTAGAATAGGGTAGTGTAGATTAAATATAAACTCACAACAAGAATACTTGACGACCCTCCTCTTCTGATGCACTCTAACCAACTCGAACTCTCCAGATTCAACATAATTTGTCAGATCAATGTTGGTCGATCGGTTAGTTAAATCCAATTGAAATCCATGATACGACCATGATCCAAATTTTAATATACATAGTTGGTCATCGAATGGAAAATAAGTGACATCTATTTTACATAAGGACCGTAGTCTCGTAGGTGGAGGCCAGAATACTGTACCATCGTAGAATAACATGGCTCTACTACGGTAGTATCCACTTGTAAAGTCATCGGCACTAAAATTATGAAAGATGGTAAGTCGTATTTTACAAAAAAAGTTATGTATTAAAAGATTACTGTAAAAAAGAGACAAGATTACGGTAAGAAATAAAGGAGATTAATGCAACAAATAGATGACTTACTTATTGTAGAGTAAAATGTCAGGTAGCCAAATACTATCACAAGGTAATCGAATTGAGGTAATTCCACTAAAGTCTTTAGGCTCCCATGCCAGTAATTCGTCACGCCATTCTTGATCTAGCCAAACATTAATGGTCAAAACTTGGCTTTTTTCATTCTGAAATTTAAAAAAAGTTTTAATTACAGGATACTGTAATTTAAGGCAGAGGTAATGTAGGGTAATTTGAGGGGGATATAAAGGTAGGGAAATCAAAGTTAAAAGTAGGTACTGTAAAGTAGAGTACTAAAAGGCAGAAAAAGGTGGGGTCGAATAGGGTAGGTTAAGGTAGGGTAGGGTACTTACGATATCGAAAATGTTAGTCAAAGTCATGCCCAGTTTTACTGTAACAGTATCCGAAGCGTTTTTGACCGGTCGTACTGATCGTTCGTATGTTCGCATCAAATGATACAGTAATCTTTGTTCTTCTGTTTGAAAATCGTGGTATGGTCGTAGCTTGTAGTGGTGGGATTCGGACGATATGTAGGGTTCGTTAAGCTATAACGTATAACTTAACCCTACTTCGTGGTAGCAAATTTTACATAGTACTAAGCTGAGGTACTTTTATAGTACTAAATGTTAGCACTAATTTTGTAGTACTAAATTGAAGTAATATTGTATTATGTGTAATGTATCCAAATAACAATATAAACTCACGTCAACTTCGGAGGATATGAGAGGTAGTAGTAATGCCAGGAGTTCAAACACTTTGGCCATCATCTTGTTTACATTATAAAAGCGAGGGTAAGAACTGAAAACAATTAACATATGAATAATTTAATTATAACATCTTTTGAATCAACAAAAAACCCAATTTCATATCTTATATTATTATAGATGCGTATTAAATAGCAAATGTGAACTAGTTTTAGTACAGATTTGTAGATAAGACATATATTTTATACATGTTGGTGATTGAAATTGGGAGCGAATATTAATCTTTAAAAATGATTAAAAATAAGCCTTAGTTCGATATGGTACAGTATTTTAGGGTAGAACCAGAGAAAAGCAATAGTAGGGCAAAAATAAGTTGTTTTGAAAAGGGTAGGGTAGGATAAAATAATGTAAAGTAAAATAGGGCAAGATGAGATGGGGTAATGTATAGTCATGTAGGGTGAAATAAGACAATGTAATAGAATGTAGGGTAGAGTTGAATAAGGTAAGGAAGGGTAGGGTAGAATAGGGTAAGATAATGTAGGGTAGGGCGCTGAGAAATGGGAAGGAAATTGTTTTAAGAAAATTCAAAAAATTAATAAGAATACTTTTGGCTAGCCAAAAAATTTTTTACTCTTTTTTATATCCTTTCCCTTTTCTGGCACTCCTATCTTATCCCCCCTTACCCATAGCATAGAGTAATCCCAATAGCCAAAAATTAAAAAAAATATTTTTTGTTTTTAAAAAATTTTAAAACATCTCCCTAATAACAATATAAAAACTTGTAAATAAACGCAAAGAAAAAACGTGGGCCGAAAAAAGCATGACAAATGTCACGAAGAACGATGAGTTTTAGCGTTCTTAAATTTGCCGGAAATTGGATCAAATTGTGTCAGTGGACATGAGCTTCAACTGCTTCCTATACCTTCTATAGTAAAACAATACTTACTATAGTAAAGCAAAAAGATACGAGTTTTAAGAATGTAAACGTAGAGTACTAATGCTATTGTTTAAACTCTAAAATTGTAATATATATCTATTTAAAAATAAAAATAAGCCTAAAATCAGTTTATGCTACTGCAAAAAGCCGCCTACAATGATGAATATTCGTCTTTAAGCTGTAACTGACACTAACAACTGCCAAAGACTATTTTTGCCAACTTTTTGTTCACGTTTCAATGAATTGTTTTTGTTCTTTATGTCTAATTTAAGGTTTTCAAACCGCGAAACGGTTAAGGTGAAGCAATTCTTGCTACTGACGTTTTTGAAAGGATTGAACCTTGTTCTTGAAGTAAACTTGAAAAGGGATCTAGTAGGCCCAGCCTGGCCCTTTTCTAGGTCTGTCTTGAACTCATGGTTCTGTAAAACCTTGTTTAACAACTAGTCCTAGCCTTACCTCTAGCCTTACTGTTAGCCTTGCCTTGCCTTGCCTTGCCTTGCCTTGCCTTGCCTTGCCTTGCCTTGCCTTGCCTTGCCTTGCCTTGCCTTGCCTTGCCTTGCCTTGCCTTGCCTTGCCTTGCCTTGCCTTGCCTTGCCTTGCCTTGCCTTGCCTTGCCTTGCCTTGCCTTGCCTTGCCTTGCCTTGCCTTGCCTTGCCTTGCCTTACCTTACCTTACCTTGTCTTGCCTTGTCTTGCCTTGCCTTGCTTTGCACTACGCTTTCCATACCCTGTACTTGCCTTACCCTACCCTTGCCACATTCTATACTTGCCTTACCCTACTCTTGCCATACTCTATACTTTCCTTACCTTACCCTTGCCATACTATATCATTGCCTTACGTGACTCTTGCCTTATCTTATCCTTGACTCCCCTTTGCCTTGTAAGTTATTCACCCCCCTTCACAGTCCCGTGCTACTCCACCCTATTCCTAGCCTGCCCTAATTTTTATCCTACCGTAGCTTAATAGGTATAATTAAAAAAAAACTGTAAAATTTCAAAAAATTTAAACTTTTTAAAATAAAAAACCCAAGCCAAATATTTATTTATGTTTAGACTTTTGGCCAATTTTAAACTTATTACCACGCCTAAAAAAGTTGTGGGCCAATTAAAAGCGCCAAAAAATGAAGAAAAACGTTTTCTTGACAGGATATGCCACTCTTTTCGTTTCATAGTTTCAAATTAGCCAAGTTAGAGATTAATAAACTGCAAAAGTCAACACGGTACTCTCGGGTAAAAGTTTAAACATCGTGGGACACGTTTGAGAAGTTTGAGGGACGTTCAAACATCATGAGGAACATTTGAGCCTTGTGAGGCACGTTCAAGCTGTCGTTCTGAATTTGGAAGAACTATGGAGAGGAAATGATGATGAAGATGTTTATTAAAAAATAAACAAAAAATAAATGTCATAGATGACAGAGGACGCTCTATATATAAATTGTCATCATTTTTGAGGTAAATGTATTATTAGGTTGTCCAAATAAGAATAAGCCATAAGTTTTAAAGTTGGACGCTGTGAATGACTCATCTATATTAGGACAAACTGATAGATTTAAAATTTAGTCGAAGAAAGTCTTGTCGTGATTTTATATATATTTGTACGTTAAAAAACGACAAGACTTTTCTTGACATCTTAAGGTAGTACTTGTAAGACGAATATTGAGTCGGGTTACAATAACAAAAAGTTAAATAATAATGCCTAGAACTAGATTTAAAAAGGGGCCCGCTATACCCAGTTCAGCCTCAAACCAGACCAAGTCAAAATAAATTTTAAAAAGGCCAGACCGACACGTGTGAACCTCAGAGCTCTGGGGTTTTTTAAAGGTTTATGTGCTTCTACAAGTTATTTTTGAAAGGTAGGGGTAAGAAACAAGATGTGTAGGCCCAACCTAGCTCGGCCTTACGATCGGCCGGATTGACCTTGAGCTAGAATCAAAATAGACTGGCCTTGAATGCTGAGCTTTGCTTTTTATGATCGGGTTGGGATTGAAAAGTGGGACCAGACCTTTATTACCATTATTGAAAAGGGACGTTTGGTCCCGCGCTAGGCTAAAAATGTTTTAAAAAGGCCGCGCTAGGCTGAATAGTGCGGGACTAAGGGCCGGGCATAAATAAAGGTATCAGGAGCCCATCTTAGGTTCTGCAACGAAAGATTTGACTGGCAAATGTGTAAAACAAATCTATAATAGTAGCGCTGTTTTCTTAAGAATAAGTTTCGAATTGTGTTTAAAAATTAAAATTGTTACCTAAAAGTTTGAAAACGCCACAATTTTTTACAACCCTAAAAATTCAGACTAGCCCAGCTTTTTTACAATTCTACCTAGAACGGAAGTAAACTTTACAAAGCCCAAACTCAAGTTTTTACCGCCATAATGCAACAAGTAAACACAAGAATGGCACATTACCAGGAACGTCGTCAGTTTGGAAAAACTTAAATTTTGTTAAAACTATTGCCGTCCCACGAAAAACAATCATTTCGTGCTGGTAAATCAATTAACAACGGCGACAGAACATCAATTTTATTATTTCTGCCAAATCTAAACCCTTCCTCTTCAAATTGTTTATATAATCTTTGCGGAACGTGCTGTGGAGTACGTTTATTGAATCTTGATAAACATAGCTGGATTCTTAAAATATTGTGACATTTGGTGACATGAGGAACAAAAAAATTGTACGTTCATGATATACAGGTCGAAATAGTGAATAGTACTATAAGATAGAATAAGACAGAAGCTGATAATGTTGGGCAGGGCAGGGTAGGATATAAGGTTGGGGAACGGTGGAGTAGGGTGGCTAGAGTAAGGTGATATAGAGTATAGAAGATTACAGGAGGGTAAAGAAGGGTAAGGTCCGGTAGGGTAGGGTAGGGTAGGGTAGGGTAGGGTAGGGTAGGGTAGGCTAGGGTAGGGTAGGAAAGAGAATTTTTTAAAAATATTTAGTTAATACAAATTAACTATCTACCCTATTTTAAATACTACGGCACTAACTTGGAAGAAGAATAAAGGAAGACGATAAACAAGAGTTATGTAGTCTAACTTCATAAGAATATCAATTGTGTTATTTATATATACCGCATAACATTAAATTGAGAATAAAAACGCCAGTCTAACTAGCTTTCTATGTATTATATTTATGTAGATACAATAGACTTTGTATAACAAACTTTTCTATAAGATTGTTATAAAATATATCATAAAACACTTAAAACGCCTAAAAGTCATCGTTCTCCAATAAGCTTCCAGGCATAGTGACCTTCCTACAAGCTTTACAACAAACTGAAGGATTTACCAACACAGTCAAATCATATTGTTTCATCAAACAGTTGTGGACGTCACTGTAGCATTTGTGGTCTTTTTGTTTAAAACGTAATTTCTATAAAACTATTGATTATTTTTTTTATAAAATAAAGTTTTATTTTATTGTTCAGTGAAGCCTCTGTATAACAAATCGTTTGGTGATTTTAAATTTGTTTGTTATAAAAGACAGGTAAATAATTTTAAAGTCAAATTTGTTTTAAACTTTTCGCAAGCCAAGTCTTTCGTTGCAGGGCCTAAGCTTGACCCATGGGACCTTGGTTCGAGCTCGGCCTTCGGGCTCACACTCTTTGCACCTTTTAAAATTGTTTTGATCTGGCTTGTCTTTTTTTAGGTTTAGTACTGTTGGCTGGAGATTTAAAAATTGCTCGTTATATCAAAATCAAAATGCCATTATATAGTAGTTCTAACGTAGTAACGATATTTTAAAAATGATTTTTAAACTATAAAAAGCCTGTGTTTACCTTATTTTTCAAAGTACCAAAAGCGTCAGTAACAACTTGATGTCTCAGCTCTTCGTTATCCAGCTGATCTTTTGTTCTTTCAGCTATCGTCTCAAATATCTGCCAACAAAACTCGAAATAAGTTATTGCGCTGACTCGGACAAGGACTAGCATTGTAAAAAAGAGTAGCTTCCACATTTTGGTAATAAAGCAGTTTGAAACAATTTCGTTTTAAGCATTTTTTAGCTGTTTTAAACAAACTTAAGTTAATTTCAATTTACAAATACAGCTTTTTGTATTTATTTAAAAACGCCTTTACGATCATGTGTGACAAATTACACGTTTATAATTGTTTTTGTTTGGTCGTGAGCTTTTTTTTGATTTATTTAAATTTAGCAATCAAAGTAAAGTGCAGTGGAAGTCCTTTATAAGAATACCTCTATAAGTATTTTTTATAACAATCTTCTCTACAACAAACCCCTCTATAACGAGCTTCTGTATAACGATCCCCTATATAGCGATCTCCTCTATAACAAGCTCTTTTATAGCGAACTCATCTGTAACGAACTCTTTTATAACCAACTCTTCTATAACAATTTTTTTATAACAAACAACCTTCAAGTCTCCAGCCAACGCTATTCAGTTTATTTAAACTCTTGTATAACAAAACTCATTTATAACAAAAAATATAAACATATAAACTTTCTGTGCTATTCGTCATACTCGTTTGTTCAAGAAATTCTGTGCCCCTGTCAAAGCAAATTTTTAAAGTCCTGGAAATATTTGAACACTTTAATACAAAAGTTGTATTTTTGCTTTAAATTAACAGTAAACTTTATACGATCTATCGTGGCTTAGAAACGATCTCTTTTTGATATTATATTAGCTTGGCCTTTTGCCAATCTATAATATATCAAAAGCGCGCTTGATGCGCTAGGTCTATGTTTAGGTAATAATCGCGTTTGTCTTACCTCTTTTATTATTCGGCTCAACATATTATTCGTAGAAACCTTAGTTCAGTCGAATTGGCACTTTATTTATCTAATTTATAAAAGTTCACCACGATGTCAATGATTTGTGACTTTTCTGACAGTGAATCTTTGACCGAATTCAGATATTTATTGGGACACCCGCCTACTCCTAGACGAGTTAGTAACTTGTAAGTTTCAATTTTTTTTATTTAAGATGTAGTAGACGCGCGTATTTTACATTTATCTTGTGTTTTAATTTTTCAGCATAAATAATAATTTTTTAAAGCTAAAATACTTGTTTCGTTCTATAACTTACGCTTAAAAAGGGGCTTATTAAGCCTCTGTGTTAATTAAAAAGAAATTTTTTAAAGGCTTACAAGGAAAGTACACCTGCCCTGCTCTGAATGACTTCAAACTTTTTATATAGAAAGATCATGTAAATATAAGATCATCAGCAAAGTACTAAATCGTGCTTTTCAAGAAATCTCGAGAAAATCGTGATCAAAAAATAACGTTTTGAATTTCCCGCCAAGTTGGCATTGTGTTTCAAGCTTATAACTTTGCTATTTTTTGACTTTTAAGAATTTTTCTTTGACATACTTGAAGAATACCTTTGAAAAACCCTACATTTTTAAATTTGTAAGTGTAGCTTGGCAAGAAAGTCGAAAAAAACTGTTTGAAACACAATGCCAAGTTTGCCGAATTGGCGGGAAACCAAAATAATTCGAATTTAAAGCTGAAACGCGCAAGTTAAAATATTTTATGGGTTCTATTGGTGGTACAAAGAACTTATATAAAGATTTTGAGCTGATTCTGAGCGAGGCAGGTAGGGTACTTTCCTTGTTAGCCTTTCACGCCTAGTATAACATTATTCAAATTTTAAATAAAATCTAAATTTAGAAGTCGCAGTCGCCACGAAAGCAAGTTATCAGACGCTGGAAGATCATTTCTAAGGCATACATATCGTTTATGTCGAAAGTTCATGCGTGCAGTGTTCAAAGCTACAGCATGCTTGCTGTGTATCAATGTAGATGTTGTAGAGTACGGCTAACTAAACACACATTCTATTGCTGACATCATATATTATTATAGCTATGCATCAATAAATATTTATTTATTATCCTTTTTTTATTGATCAAGACAATGATTTAAATAACTATTGTTAAATTATATACAAGGAAAGTGCCCGACCTGTACCGCTTGATTGACTTTTAACTTTTTATATAGAAAGATTACATCAAAGTAAGATATTCAGAAAAGTACCAAATTGCCTTATCTTGTCAAACTCCGAGTGACTGAGCTACAGAGAGAGTCAACACAGATTCTTAAAACTCGTAAAAAACAAAGTAAAAATGCCAGTTTAAAGGCTTCAGTCACAAAAAACTTTTTTGTGCTTATTGATCGTATGTATAACATATAATACATGATGAATATACGATCGAGTACCACAAAAAAACTCTTTAAAAGTTATTGTTGCAAAACCAGCGTCAAGTGTCGTTTTTCATGAGCTTTCAAAATCCGTATCGACTGCTTTTGTAACTCTATTATTTGTCGAGTTACAGTAATGTAAATATTTCCTTGTTATACTATACATGATGAATATACGATCGAGTACCACAAAAAAAACTCTTTAAAAGTTATTGTTGCAAAACCAGCGTCAAGTGTCGTTTTCCATGAGCTTTCAGAATCTGTATCGACTGCTTTTGTAACTCTATTATTTGTCGAGTTACAGTAATGTAAATATTTCCTTGTTATACTATACATGATGAATATACGATCGAGTACCACAAAAAAAACTCTTTAAAAGTTATTGTTGCAAAACCAGCGTCAAGTGTCGTTTTTCATGAGCTTTCAAAAATCCGTATCGACTGCTTTTGTAACTCTATTATTCGTCGAGTTACAGTAATGTAAATATTTCCTTGTTATACTATACATGATGAATATACGATCGAGTACCACAAAAAAACCCATTTTAAGTTATCGTGACAAAACCAGCGTCAAGTGTCGTTTTTCATGGGCATTCAGAATCCGTATCGACTGCTTTTGTAACTCTATTATTCGTCGAGTTACAGTAATGTAAATATTTCCTTGTTATACTATACATGATGAATATACGATCGAGTACCACAAAAAAACTCTTTAAAAGTTATTGTTGCAAAACCAGCAATAGCTGTCGTTTTTCATGGGCTTTCAGAATCCGTATCGACTGCTTTTGTAACTCTATTATTCGTCGAGTTACAGTAATGTAAATATTTCCTTGTTATACTATACATGATGAATATACGATCGAGTACCACAAAAAAACCCATTTTAAGTTATCGTGACAAAACCAGCATCAGATGGCATTTTTCATGGGCATTCAGAATCCGTATCGACTGCTTTTGTAACTCTATTATTCGTCGAGTTACAGTAATGTAAATATTTCCTTGTTATACTATACATGATGAATATACGATCGAGTACCACAAAAAAACTCTTTAAAAGTTATTGTTGCAAAACCAGCGTCAAGTGTCGTTTTTCATGAGCTTTCAAAATCCGTATCGACTGCTTTTGTAACTCTATTATTCGTCGAGTTACAGTAATGTAAATATTTCCTTGTTATACTATACATGATGAATATACGATCGAGTACCACAAAAAAAACTCTTTAAAAGTTATTGTTGCAAAACCAGCGTCAAGTGTCGTTTTCCATGAGCTTTCAGAATCTGTATCGACTGCTTTTGTAACTCTATTATTCGTCGAGTTACAGTAATGTAAATATTTCCTTGTTATACTATACATGATGAATATACGATCGAGTACCACAAAAAAACCCATTTTAAGTTATCGTGACAAAACCAGCATCAGATGGCATTTTTCATGGGCATTCAGAATCCGTATCGACTGCTTTTGTAACTCTATTATTCGTCGAGTTACAGTAATGTAAATATTTCCTTGTTATACTATACATGATGAATATACGATCGAGTACCACAAAAAAACTCTTTAAAAGTTATTGTTGCAAAACCAGCGTCAAGTGTCGTTTTTCATGAGCTTTCAAAATCCGTATCGACTGCTTTTGTAACTCTATTATTCGTCGAGTTACAGTAATGTAAATATTTCCTTGTTATACTATACATGATGAATATACGATCGAGTACCACAAAAAAACCCATTTTAAGTTATCGTGACAAAACCAGCGTCAAGTGTCGTTTTTCATGAGCTTTCAAAATCCGTATCGACTGCTTTTGTAACTCTATTATTTGTCGAGTTACAGTAATGTAAATATTTCCTTGTTATACTATACATGATGAATATACGATCGAGTACCACAAAAAAACTCTTTAAAAGTTATTGTTGCAAAACCAGCGTCAAGTGTCGTTTTCCATGAGCTTTCAGAATCTGTATCGACTGCTTTTGTAACTCTATTATTCGTCGAGTTACAGTAATGTAAATATTTCCTTGTTATACTATACATGATGAATATACGATCGAGTACCACAAAAAAAACTCTTTAAAAGTTATTGTTGCAAAACCAGCGTCAAGTGTCGTTTTTCATGAGCTTTCAAAATCCGTATCGACTGCTTTTGTAACTCTATTATTCGTCGAGTTACAGTAATGTAAATATTTCCTTGTTATACTATACATGATGAATATACGATCGAGTACCACAAAAAAACCCATTTTAAGTTATCGTGACAAAACCAGCATCAGATGGCATTTTTCATGGGCATTCAGAATCCGTATCGACTGCTTTTGTAACTCTATTATTCGTCGAGTTACAGTAATGTAAATATTTCCTTGTTATACTATACATGATGAATATACGATCGAGTACCACAAAAAAACTCTTTAAAAGTTATTGTTGCAAAACCAGCGTCAAGTGTCGTTTTCCATGAGCTTTCAGAATCTGTATCGACTGCTTTTGTAACTCTATTATTCGTCGAGTTACAGTAATGTAAATATTTCCTTGTTATACTATACATGATGAATATACGATCGAGTACCACAAAAAAACTCTTTAAAAGTTATCGTGACAAAACCAGCATCAGATGGCATTTTTCATGGGCATTCAGAATCCGTATCGACTGCTTTTGTAACTCTATTATTCGTCGAGTTACAGTAATGTAAATATTTCCTTGTTATACTATACATGATGAATATACGATCGAGTACCACAAAAAAACTCTTTAAAAGTTATTGTTGCAAAACCAGCAATAGCTGTCGTTTTTCATGGGCTTTCAGAATCCGTATCGACTGCTTTTGTAACTCTATTATTCGTCGAGTTACAGTAATGTATATATTACGTTTACTATATTGTACATGATGAATATACGATCGAGTACCACAAAAAAACCCATTTTAAGTTATCGTGACAAAATCAGCATCAGATGACATTTTTGATGGGCTTTCAGAATTTGTACCGACTCTCTTTGTAGCTCAGGTATCCGTCAAGTTACAGTGTAACAAAATATACGCATACCATATTACACTCGATATATATACGATCGACAACCACAAAAAAAAGATCTGTTAATTACGCTTTAAATTAACAATTTAAACTTCATTTTGGATGGGCTTTCAGAATTTGTAACGACTGTCTTTGTAGCTCAGGTATCCGTCAAGTTACAGTGTAACAAAATCTATGAATACCATATTACACTCGATAGATATACGATCGACAACCACAAAAAAAATATCTGTTAATTACGCTTTAAATTAACACTTTAAACTTCATTTTTGATGGGCTTTCAGAATTTGTACCGACTGTCTCTGTAGCTCAGGTATCCGTCAAGTTACAGTGTAACAAAATATACGCATACCATATTACACTCGATATATATACGATCGACAACCACAAAAAAAATATCTGTTATTGAAGCTTTAAATTAACAATTTAAACTTCATTTTGGATGGGCTTTCAGAATTTGTAACGACTGTCTTTGTAGCTCAGGTATCCGTCAAGTTACAGTGTAACAAAATCTATGAATACCATATTACACTCGATAGATATACGATCGACAACCACAAAAAAAATATCTGTTAATTACGCTTTAAATTAACACTTTAAACTTCATTTTTGATGGGCTTTCAGAATTTGTACCGACTGTCTCTGTAGCTCAGGTATCCGTCAAGTTATAGTGTAACAAAATATACGCATACCATATTACACTCGATAGATCAGAAAAAAAGCAACGAAACCAACGAACCCAACGAACCCAACGAAACCAACAATATCAACAAAATACAGCTAAAATGCTACAGTTTAGCA